AAGTCCCCCCTAGGATCTGCCTTTGCAGTATTTTTCTGACATTGTGAAGAAAACTGTCACTCTAAAGCTGACCGCAAATCATTGATACAATGCAACAGGTTCTGTTTTCAAGTGGAATATGTTGTATGATCCACAGGACTTGGCCTCAGTTCTCACAGAGCCTGACAGGCGGCTCTCTATAGGATCTGGATCAGTTATGTTTAAGTGCTTGTGGTTTCACCCCATCATGGTACAATATGACACACTACACATGAAAAAGGTGTCCATCAGTAGGAACCATCAAGAAATGACTCACTGTTTTGTAGGCAACACCTTAAATGTTTAATTAGAACAAAATCTGAATAAATAACTAAAACATTTCACTAGTTTAGGGCTGAGTTGTTTCCTTTTATGGGCGAGCCAGAGTCATAAACAAGGGTTCACTTTTCTGTGTGTTTTCACCTCTGCAGCTCTGGTGCCCCGTGGCCATACATTTTCAAACATGACCCCAACGCACTGACTGCCCCAGTCTACTTCATCCATTCATTCATCAGTTTGACAGATGACATGAAAGCTGATTTGAATGCTGCACTTTTTTTCTCCACACAAAAGTAAGTAAATAAGTAAAGTATATTTAGTATTTAGCATGTTTTACAGAGCAAGGTCCTTCATTTTAAAAATAAGACTATAAAAAACAGTAAAATAAACAACAATAAAACATAAGCAACAGACCTTACAAACACACAAGACAGCATGAGGCGAGACAAGGGCCAGGCATCAACAAATAAGTCTATAGGAAGCGCATTCCAGTCACCACTTCACCTAAAACACTTATTTCACCTTTTCAAATTAATGTTTAAAATATCTTTTTGCCTTACTTTCAGAAAAAGTAAGTATGGATACATTTCAGTGGTCTAAGTTTGCCTTAAAGTTGAACATATAGAAACAATAGGAGTTAGCTACTGTAGCAGCTCTCTGAAGCTGTTGAGCTAAATGATAACATCAGCACACCATCATAGTTACACTGACAAACCTAAGGTGCAGATGCTTAGCAGGTATAACATTTACCATGTTCACCATCTTAAAATTGGCGTGTTAGCATGCTAACATTTGCTCATTAGCAGTAAATACAGTACAGTAGAGCAGAGGCTGATGAATGTCATCAGTTTGTCAGGTATTTGGTCATAAAGTATTTACAAATTTTACCTGATGATGGTGCGACATGGAAAGCCGAGGTATCGCCAAATTGATTACAATTCATCCTGAGGGGAACATGAATGGAATACATCCGATAGCTGTTAAGATATTTCATTGCCAAACCTAGGTGAGAATCTCTCAGATATTGTCTTGTTCTTTCATTAACCCTCTCAAATAACAGCAGTAAATTCAATCTAGTTTCATAGTTTTGCAGGCCTCATTCTAAAACACCAATGCCACACTTTTTTTTAACCAAATGATTAATCTTCAGCACAAAGCCTAGCAGCCAAAATGTAACCTCGAGCCCCAATTCTGTGACCCTTCTGTCACGCCGAGAGATTTTTGATTTACTATAGCCCAGCTCCCAGATGATTGGCCCTCTCACTTGTCAGCCCAATGCTGCCTGCCTGCCTGGCCTGTAAAGAGATGGATGGCTGTGAGTGTGAAACTAGCAGTGGTTTACATAGCCTTGAGCTTTACATCTAATTAGGCTCTAATGTAACTACAATGCTCTCGAGGAGATGTTGTCTCGCCCACCAAAGCTCTTTAAAAGCCTCCCTGGGGCAGCTCTGAATGAGATGCTGTGGCAGGCCACAGCCATGTCCAAGTGAAAAGCTCAATTTTCATTCCCCAGCTGGCAACTGAACGCCAGCTCTATACAGGACAAGACCAGGATCTTCATTTTGGCTGTGTGCAGACTGTCAGTGTGCAGGCACCTAAAATGGAATAGTTATATGGCAAACAGCATTGTCTGACTTGAAATATGTTACAATCCTATACTTGATAAGTCTCGTTTTACATCTACCCAAAATTCAGAGCACTTTCTAATAAGGCATACATGTTAAACATAGGTTTGAATTGATCACACTAATGTTAAGTAATTTAATACTTTTCAGATCAGTAATAATCATTAATATGGGGGCTTGAAGTTACAAGGTTGTAAGAAATCAATTTTGGTGTCTTTTAGCTAGTTTTTTTAAGTAAATTTGACTGCCTTTGGAAAAGAGCAGCAGAGCATCATGACCAAACTCAATTTTTTAACATTATTAAATTTGACAAGTGCAGAGTTGATGCCTTATAAACATTCAACAAGGCTTCCCTTAGGAAACTGTTTAGCAGAGGTGGCAAGCCAGCCGCATCCTGAGCCTTCCTCATCTCCTTGTGTTCAACTTCAGTGACACTCATTGAATATGTTGCATTTATGTCACTGTATGTATTACCACTGTGGGAACCCCTGTTGGACCCAATATTAATGTCTTACTATGATTTATAACTGTAGACTCAATGGCTTTTTATAAAGTGAGTAAACACAATCAACATGTTAGATCTCGCTTGTGCAATCTGTGTGTGTTAAAACAACAATACAAGGAAGTAACTGTCCAAGAAATTGTCAGAAATTGTCCACTTTGGCTGTTGTACGGATCAAACAAACAAAAAAATAACGTTAATTGGTGAGCTTCAAGGGTGCTGGCAGGCAGACCTTTTTTTAAACTTACAGACAGAGCCAGGCTACCAGTTTCCCCATGCCCAGCCTTCATACTAAGCTAACAAGCTGCTGCTTACTGTAGCTTCATATTTACTGGACAAACGAAAACCCACTGAAGGGATCTTCCTGGTGAATTTCAAAAGCTGGCTAAAAAGACAACAGCAAGATATGTTGGATTTTCACCAGCCTCACAGATGTGTACTGGTATAAACTGCAACCTGGCAACCCAAAATATGTCCTTACTAATAGTTTATTATTACTGACCTACATAGCATTAATAACATACTTACTATCCACATGTAGAACATGGTGGTTGACACTCTCCATAAGACAACTTTGCTGGGAAACGCACATACTGCTTTGAACAGCTGCCATCGATGGAAAGCATATCCCAACATGGTCAGAAAGCCTTCCAATGAAATAATGCTGCTGTGTGCCAATTAAAAATGACTAAACAGCTTCATCTTTATTATTTGAAATCACAAATTTACTTTGTTAAAAGGAAGAAGAAACCGCCTTACTGCATGGTGTCATTGTGTCTTCCATCTCCGGTCTGCAGTGTGTGGCAATGAAACAGAAGCCAAACCATAATACAGAATGCTATCAATATTTTCCTGATGCATCATGTGATTTCCCCATTTCTACACAGCTCTTGAAGGATGGTATCATCAGCTTGATATAATATTAGAAACCGGTCCTGGGAGATAAGGTGTCTGGTTGAAGGTCATCTGTGCCCTCTTGAGTGAACATAAGAGCCTTTTGTGGTTGGGTTAAATGCACATGACAGGCTGTTGGAGCACAATCACCCATTTTAATTGTCATGTAACGGTTTCATGTAGTGCCAAAGTGTCTGCAACACTTCAGTGGTTGGAAACCAGAGCCGGGCCACACAACCACAGATGTGGTTAGCTGGTCCTTTGTTTAAGGAAACCCTGGAGAGTGCTCTGTGGAGACAGGCTTGCAGGAAGATGCTAATAGATAATGCGGCAGATTTATCTACTTCAATTTGTTAAATTACAGGCCTTAATAAATCCTTTAAGGCACTGAATAAAAAGGGACTGCATGTGTAACTCTTTGCAAACTGTGTGTTAAGGCTGCAGAAATACTAATTGCTTTAATGCACCTGAAAAATTGGTTGCCAAATTACTTTTTCCCACAAAACAGCTATCCAATACAGACAAGAAAATCTCAACAGTCACTCAAAGAACTCAATTTTCCAATTTAGCGGAAGCCAAAGATGACTGGAAATAAGGTAATTCGCCATAGCCTCAACAACAACCCCCCCCGGCCATTCTCAGTCCGCTTCATGGGCAGCAATTATGTCCCACAAATGAATGCCATTTCATATTAAGCTGCAGTCATAATCCAACGTCAAAGATAGACTCATTATCGACAATCATGGGAATTAGTTACATCATTTAACTGCGCCAAACTAATCATTTCCAGGATACCGCAGAAGCAGATAGAGCCATTAGAAAAAATTGGAGCTCTTAAATAGAATAATTGACATCTATATCATCTCTGCTGCTTTGGCTGAAGGGCTTCAGAAATTGCATTAGTTGCAATTGCAAATCTGAACTGAGGGAAAAAGACACCACTTAGACTTTTGCTGGGCACTGCTCTATGTTCACTGTTCCCATTCACATCATGCTGAATACTGCATTTAAAAATAAAAAACAAAAAGTCTGCATTGCATCCGACTGTCATCAGTGTAACAAACAGCAGAAGATAAGTTCAGCGATAATGATGGAAAAAGTATTGACACATCTCCATCATCCTTTATCTTCTATTTTAATAAAATCTATATTTAATGGATTGAACTTTCATACGATTTTCATTCTCTATATACATTTCTCGATGAACGAGTTCAGAGCAATCCCACCTCACACTGAAATCATAAAGATGGATTGCACTCAGATCTGCAGCACGCTTCCACCCTGATAAACCGGAATTTACCACTCAGGTACTCAATTGGTAATGCACCATGAAAGATAACAGAAATCTAGAAATGAGCCTCATGATTGTTTTTACTTTTGTGTGAACCTCCTCAACCACCAGTCTGACAGATGCAGCAGGATCATCCAGTTTAGTGGTTTTCTCCAAGTTTTCCCCAACAATAAAAGAAGAATTTGGTTTAGGCCGCAGACCTGTGATGTCTATCAGCACAGGTCACTGTCTGAGGGCAAGTGGAGCCCTCGGCAAGACAAGTGGATCATCGCTTTCCCTCAACACATCATCAACAGGACACCCTCTCCTGCCCTGACTCATTCCTGGCATTTCTCAGGTTCTCTTTTGTAGGTAGCACATGTGACAGAAGTTGAAGTATGAACTGACATTATGCTGTTGGTCAAAATGTTTGATATTTTTATATTATAATGCAAGTGTCAAAGTCCTATCAGTGTTAAAACACTCCAATTCCATTTAAAATAATCAAGCAAAACATACATGAAACAATGACATATTTAACAATAGCCAGAAAAGAGAAGAAAGGTTTTCACAAACACTACTTACAAGAAAGAAAAACTGTTGGAATAGAAAGAAATGACAGGAAACAACATAATGATACACTGGATGCCAGCAGATAACCCAAATGTGATAAAGGCTTCATACGCAGAGGGAACCATTCCAAGGTGGACTTAGGTTGACCTGGACACCAAAAACAGGAGAGAACAGATCTAAATCAACTCAGGAGCAACACCATGTGTAGTTTCTGCAGGTGCAGAGAGACAGACTAACTCTGCACGGTTTCGCAGAGTTTGAACTACTAGAAAATATTTGTGACATATGGTGTGATCTTCTAATTTAGATGTTTATCACACTTGAATCAACAATGGTAAGAAGTAATTTTCTCTAAAGTCTCAATTGTGTGACAAATGGGAATGTTTTGTTTTCGACATTACAAACATTTAAAAAAAACAAAAGTATTCTAGCTCTTGGCCAAACATTGATTTATCAATGCCACGTTTAACTGGAAGTCCGTATACCCTTAATGCATGAATATTATCTGCCAAGTGAGATTATAGTTATTTTAAATAACAGTGTGTCTGAACTATTTCAACAGTAAATTCATTGTTTCACAAATTTTTTTCAAACTATAAACTTGAACATTCACTTGTCCCAAGATTCTCTTATGTTCTTATGTAGACAAAAATCTATTGGTGTTGGACTGCTTGTCTGACAAAACAAGCAATTTGAAGATGTCCCTTTGGGCTCTTCAAACTTATTTTATTAATTTGTACACTGTATAGACTAATCAATCAAAAACAAAAGAACAGATTAACCAATTAAGAAAGTATTGTTAGTTGCAGCCCTAACTGATAATGTATCCTTTAAAATGCCAACTTGTTGCTTAACTGTATGATATTCATCATAGGGCTTTAGAGGCAGTCAAACCTGCAGTGACCAGAAAAACACAAATAAAATTGTGAAAAATTGAACAGTTGTCTTCAGTTACATACTATGGTTTTGCTATTGATTTCACCCTTGCTGATATACATGAAAAAACATGGAATAAAACACATTTCAATATAGTACAAGCCAATACAACAAACAGCCTCAAAAATGACAAGACTGCCTTAGCGTCAAAAGACAAAAGAAAATTTCTAATTTCACAAAAGGTGATATTTATATACAGAATCCATTATAGTGGATTGCATTACAATGTACAGCCTATTTGTCTTGTCACCAAGTGTATATTTATGACAGCATAGACAACTGATGGGACGATTGTCAAGTTTGTATCTTTCAACTGTCGGATATTGAAAAGTGGATGGGCAGAGATACAGATCAGTATATGCTGCAGCTGGACGTGCTCTTTGTAAATGCAGCTGCTCACGGATTCAGTGGGTAGCAATCTGTCCCACTGTGGACACATGAGGTGAGGAAGACTCACTTGGGCTTGGTCTCGGCATCTGTGACTTGGCGGATGAAGATGGCGTCCTCCGGGTGGTTGATGTCTCCCTTCTCGTGCATGTAGGAGGCGGCAATTGCAAGCATGGTGCCGTCGTTATTGAAGGCCAGCGAGGCGATGCTGGTCGGGTACCTGTGGAACTGACACAGGCGCTTCTTGTTGAACGGGTCCCAGATGTTCACAAAGCCGTCTGAGCCACCTGGGGGAAGCAGGGGATCAAGGTCAACCTTAAAAGTTCCTCATGCCACCATGGCAGCTTAAGGTCATAGGAAAATGTATGAGCTTTACAAGAAGAAATTATGGAAACAGACTAAATGTAGCAAGAAATACTTGTGTCAAGTATTATTCTAGCCAGTCCTACCTGTGGCAAAGGTGTTATGAACACCGTGAAATGAGATGGCATTGACAGGGTAAACATGCTCGATTCCATCCTCCTTCAGCCTGTGGCACTTGAAGGCGTACTTCTTCTTCTGAACCTCCTGGCTTGGGTCCAGGTACTCCACAGCTACACGTCCCTCGATTGAACTCAACACGTAGCCCTGGAGCAGACACAGAAAATATAAAGTTACTAACCAACCTTTTCACATTAACACTGGAATCTGCATCCGAAACATGATGCTCTATTTGGAGTAAATTATCTGTCAAGTTTGAGCTGTTGTCTTTCAGCAGTACAGTGCACACTTTAATAAAAAGTCGATTCTACTTTAAAGTGTACCTGTTTGTTGGGGAAGGCTCTAATGCAGCGAGTCTGATACTTGAGACTGGACTCTCTTCTTTGCTGAACGTAGCCCATGTTCCTCAAATCCCACACAAGGACTCGTCTTCCAGCTGTGCCAACGATCAGCCTATCTCCAGCCACAGAGAGGGTATACACCTTTCAAAGACCACAAGTATGAGACAAGGAGACACTAACAATGCCAAACGTCCTCCTTGATACCAAAGCAGACACATGCAACAATAAATGACACACAATAAAGTAACATCTTATTCACCAAAGTAATAAACAGCTATGTGACAGTAAATTACCAAATTCTCAAGGAATTAATTTTCTTATACATTAAGACTAAAACAGTTTCTTTAATGGTCAACTCTTTATGCACCAGTGGTGTTCCTGAATATTCCACAACATAAATCAAAAAAGTTTATTTTCCATTGCCTCATATCCTACTGGTTTACACTTTTGAATTGTCTTTGTAAGTTATGTTAACATCTTGTTTCTTTAAGAAATGCATCACATTAACAAGGCATCTAAAAATGACAGGTCATTGTGACTTTAAAATCATCTCATTGTGGTTTAGAAATTAAAACTAAGAAGCTAGTAGGCTGTCAGTTGTTAAAATGTTCCCGCAAGACAGTCCCTCATAAAATCCTGCACACATTTACTGCAATCTGTATTTACTCTACCTTTTCAGGCTGAGTAAAGGTGCCAGCATTGCAGGGAGTCCTTGGGTCCCAAAGCCGAACTGATCTGTCCCAGCTACCCGTGACCATGACATTAACCTCTGGGCAGTATTCCACACAACGAATGGGGGCATCATGTGATCCAACTATTGTATCTATTTAAGCATAATATTAAACAGCACCATAAATAAAAATACATACAGCAAATTAATGGCATAGTTATGAAGGTTTAAGTGATACAACCTTAAGCCTTTTATTAGTGCTTTGCATGCTTCTGACATACCTTGGTCTGTGTTCAAATCATGAGTTTTTAATTGTGCATCTAAACCTCCACTCCAAGAATGTGTTGGGTCCTAAAAGTAAAACGGCATTATCATCAGTGTGCGCAAGACTTCAATAAGGGATCTACACAAATATAATAATCTGTTACGTACATAAAAAGCGCAGTCAAGAACTGGAGCTGAGTGCTGGTACTTCATCCGCATGGTGTTGCTAATGACATCATAGAGACGGACAGTGCAGTCCCAGGAGGAAACCAGCAGACACTGGGTTGTGCTGGGGCTGAACTTGACAGCAGAGATGCTGTCCTCTGGTCCCTGGTTCAACTTGTACTCATTTGAGCCGGTCATCTGGAAAAAAAAGTAATAATAATTAAAGTCTGAAACTGAGACTATGTAGAGCTCCAAGGTGACTTTAATGAGATCCAATGGACACCTAAATGACACATTTAAATAAAAAAAACCTAATATGTGTATGTATATATAGATAGATAGATAGATAGATAGATAGAGCAAAAACATAAAAAGCTTAAAATCCACAATCTAGTTCAACACCACTACAAACTATAGCTCTAAAAATGTCCAAAGCTTAATATACACCAGTCTGACACGGCTAAAACACAACGTTAACATAATATGCTTCACAAAAGTAACGATTGTTAGATACATTACACTGAACTCACAGTTACTGCTATTGTGTTCATTCCCTGTATATAACTGAATCCAAAACCAGATGATCTGAAACTAAACCACTGCTGCCACAGACAAAACAAAATGTCGTCTCTTAAGTTCAGGATTCTTGGATGCTAAATGTAAGTAAGTGAGCATTCAATTACTGTGACTTGTTAGATTAAATACACAACCTTTAGATTTGTCATTATAAAAGGTCAGGTTTGAAGTAACAGCCACAACAGTGTTTTGAATAGCAGCGGGTGGCTCTTTTTCCAAAACCTTACAAGACATCATTAGTTAACGTTACATTACTTTACTGAGACTAATAAAATAATTTCTTTCTGAAAGCAATTACGTTACCTTTAAATATCACTGGGAGTGGGCTATTGGCATGAACTTACACGTTACTGGTGGATCAATGGCTTTCCTGTTGTTAGCCTAGCCTAGCTCAGCGACAGTGGTTGTGAATGTACGTTAGCCAAGTAGCCCCACCGAGTACTTACTTCCACGCTATTTAGCGGTGTTTTCTGTTACGAGAGCTCGTGGAAAATTAACTTTACTATGTTGGTTTTTGATCGCATTTGTTCTTCTCTCACAGTCAACACGAATTGTACCGTTACATCCAGCAATTACACCAAGCCCACATCTACTGCCACCACCGGGGATTGCTAACGCTAACTTAGTAACGGCTTTACCACGTATGCTAAAGTACAAGCCCTGGTTTTAGCCGTTAAACTATACTTACCGCTGCAGTTTGGTGTTCTTCAATCGCGGGTCTGGGTCTTTTCTTTAACTAAAAGATATTTTAAATCTAAAATATATAACGTGGAAATGCTATAAAGCAATGTGGCTGCCTGAAGCTAGCTCCTTTCGGAAACCTGCCGTTGCTCGAGAAGACTGATTGGTTAAGACGAATGTTCAAATTCCCGCCTGTGTTCTGATTGGTTGATTTGACCTCAACGGATATTTCCGTTGCCTCAGCACAGATCACATGACATAGGACTGCACTCGCTCTCTTTCTCTCTCTGTCTCTCGCTCTCTGACATATAGGCTGCCTAAGATTTTCCGAGTATGAATAACTGTAATTTTTAGATGGATACAATGCAATACAATATCCTTATTATATATATATATATTGTAAACATTATAATTCCCCATACTATAAACAGAAAATTAACCTACAGCGGAACTGTAATTGATAAGAATCTTACAATAGGCTAGGAATAGGCCTATCAATGTGATTTTTATCTCTGTGTAGCCTTTCTTCATATTATTTTTTGTGATTTGAGGAGAACGTTGCCCAAATAGGTCTAGTCTAATAGAATGATGGCAACAAGTCACAGCCTAATTCAGTCTTCTTCTCAGACGCCAACAGCAAAGAAAAATAGGCTACCTCAGCCTACAACCTTGACATAATATCAAGATCGTTAAAATGTGTGAAAAATTTAGGACAAACAGTGGCTCCTGTAGGCTACTAATACTTTTAATTTTTAAATGAATGAATGTTTAATGGAATTTTAATTGTGAATCTTAACATACATTAATCTTAATGTAGCGTTTGTTTGGGTATAATCTATTGACATCTGCTCAGTTATCGGTTATTTAAGACATTTAATAAATAATAACAAATAGTTCTACAGCAAAAGATCAAAGTGTCCTTGAGTAATATTCAAAATATTCTGTAGTCCTAAAAAACTTCACAAAATTCCAGAATAATGGTTCCTCAAATGCTGTTTAAAAGTAGGGTTTACCGTCGCTCCAAATTTTTCAGATCAGATTTTAAAAAGATGGCCATCATTAATTAACTATTAAAATAGTCCAATTTCAAGTTTTTATTTTAGAGAGCATTAAAATCACTGTAGACCCTCAACGTGCCTTGCCTAGTCTATATAGGCTATATATCGAATCACTCCAACCTCATGAATATTTGAAAACCAAGATCTTTATGTCTTAAATTAATTATCTTTTTTTTTCATGTACATCACAATTGTATTAAGAATAGATACATTTCATTTTGGAACGAACTCTTTACTGAGTGTAAGATCATTTAATATACATAATTTTAATAACAATATCAGAGAAAAAAACATAGCAACACAAAAACAGAGGCTATTTTGTCTCTTTCATGGCTTTAAAATTACGGTAAAACATTGCGTCATAAAAACAATTGCCTATCACCTGCAGTTACTGGGGGATATTCTTTAAGGATGACATGATTGTCCTCACTATTACAAAGAGAAAAAGGTGTGATTTGTTTCCTGTAAAAGCTAACTTTAGGTGACAAAGGCTGGTAACCATGTGAAGCAAACAGTATTGCACAAAACTGACACAAACCTCGGTAAAATACATATGGACAGTCAACCCTTAAAACAAGCTCTTTTTTTTTTTTTTTCAAATTAAAAAGCCTACATTAAAATATATTCAGCCACCTTTGATCATGTAACTATTTTACCAATAATAATAATAATAATAATAATAATAATAATTTTAAATTTTGAGAATGTCCCATCTGTAACACCAATTAGATCCATATGGACAATGTGTCATGCTCTAGAGGCTTAAACAGGATAAAGGATAATATGCTAACAATAGACGAATAATAATAATAATAATAATAATAATAATAATAACTTGACCTATGTGTCCCTTGAATCTACAAAATATACAAAAATGTAGTGTTTTTTCCAATGAATGTCACTCTCATTTAAAAACATATGTACAGCGCATAATCACAGTCAGTGTTAAACAGGCCTCAGCAGTGGGACCGGGTGGGAATAGTACATGTGGTGGGGGAAAGCCAGGAGTGACTGGCTGCCCGGTGAGTTTGCTGCGGGGCCCCCGGCCGTTTCTGTGGCTCCGTTCTCGTGGTAAAGTATGGGAACCCGCACAATCCTCTGCGCCGCCGCGTGGCTCAGGTTGGCTGCCTCCAGCTCCGCGGCCAGCTGCCTTTTCCACTTATTCCTCCGGTTCTGAAACCAGATTTTCACCTGCGTCTCTGTCAGGTGCAGGGACGCGGCCAGGCCTGCCCTCTCCGAGCTGCTCAGGTAGCGCTTTATGTCGAAGGTGGACTCCAGCTGGAAGACCTGACTCCTGGAAAACACCGTGCGCGTCTTCTTCTTCCGACAGGGCTTCCTCTCGGAGTCCAACTCGTCCGTTTTTCTCCTCCAGTCGTCCTCCTGGTCTATTTCCTTCTTTGGTTCTTCCGAGTCACTGTCATCCAGCGCGATATCGTCGTCGGCGCTTTCCTCTTTCGCATCTTGGTCACCTTTTTGGAGATCCGGGGAACGCCTGTCCGGTGCCGGCGATGTTTCCCTCAGGTTGGCCTTCTCAGACCCTGCAGGGGGAAACAATACATCAATTTGATCCTCTGAGCCTTTACCTTTAAACTTGTGGTCTGCAATTGTGAAATAGGCCTATGCGTTTTTTCTTTTTGTTAAAATGTTGATGTTTAATAGAGAGTTTAGGGACATAATTCCATACAATTCAGAGAATAGGCTCTGTTTTAAATCCCACATTAATCAAGTGGTATCTGTTCGAAATAACAGGCCTTTTGCTGTTACATGAATCTAAAATCAGATTTTTCCAGACCAAAACACTAGGCTACATTTCCTTTATCTGCTAGTGAAGTTTGAATAATATTTACCTCCAGTCCTCAGATGAGTCCCGAGCGTGTATGGGTACCACCAGGTTGACGCTCTCTCCAAATACTGTGCTGATAGTCCAATTCTCTGTGTGGGCAACTCAAATCGAGGGAAAGACAAGTCACCGAGCCGAGAGAAGAAGCTGCCTTCAAACACACCTTTGGAGGAGCCGAGGACGCTTTTCGGCTTTGTGGGCTTGTCTTCAATGTTCAGCAGGTTCTTTATGGAGAACGGCGACTCTTTTGCAGGTTGGCGAGTCTCTTGCGCATCAGAGTCTGCCATCACCGTTTACTGTCCGATGTGGATCACCATTAAAACCTATCGAAGGATATAAACACCTGAAAACTATTGTCTTTTACAGTCTATATTAAAAGCATAGGCAACGAGAAAAAGAAAGAGCGAGAGAGAGAAGAAAGGAACAGGAAGTCACCCGAAGCTGCGTCCAGCTCCTGAGGATGATCAAAGTGAGAGCGCCGAGATCACTGCGTCAAACATGCGCAGGATTGTAGTGATGAAATAAAGAATGGCATCCGAGTTAAAACGCGCTCGGTCTCTGCTATTGGGCAGGTACAATAGCAAATGGGATTTGAGATGAAACCGCGAGGGGCTGTGACGAGAATAGATTCCAAAGAAAAAGGCCGCGCAAGCGTTTTGCCTTCGGGCTCACAGTACGCACCCACTTATCATCCAATTAGATTAAAGAGGAAAATGTCTAAGGGGTCTTTTGGGGGCGTGCACGAGCCACAATCACCTGCCACTAAATTGAATAAACGGTCCACGGATTATCACACCTCAACATGGAGCTGTTAACTGCTTGGCCTTGGCAAATTACGCCTTTTTTTTACGCATTAATAAGACACCGAAACTTAAACTTAAAAAATTGTCTTTATTTATTTAAAGCACATGAAAGACAGATTACCATATGGATGTTTAACACTGTGACCTGCTGAGGATCAACTAGTCATTCATCCATTGTATCAAATATTCAAATAGCCTATCCTCTGTTGCACCTGTGTGCAACAGGAAAGCAATATGCACTGTGCCTTTCTCCTGGACCGGAGCTCATTGTATTCATTGTAATTTTATTAGTCAGGAAGTGCTGCAGGCAGACATCAAATTGAATGCTTACCATAGTGATAAAGACCTTTCAAATCAGCTTTGTACAAAAGCCTGCAAACCCACAGGGGCACCAGGTGATCTAATGCGTGACGATGACACACCAAGTCTTGTTTCTGTCACATATTACAATAACATATACCAGTTGCTCAGTTGCAGCCAATTGCATTTGGATGAGCCATTCATCTGATCAAGTGTGATCAGATTAGATGATAATTAGCAGGAGAAAATGAACAGAGACACAAAATGAACAGGAGGGAGATTGAGTTTACATTTGTAAGCAGTCAAACTGTTTTTCTTTTAAGATTGGAGCAACTGAAACTTGAGATTTCTGAATGCTGGATTTTTGAATCTGACAACTAGCCTCTGGAATGTGTTTTGCCAAAAGACAATGCATATGTCACTTAGAAAGTCCTAAAGAAGACACACAAAAATAATTTCTGTCTGGGCCTATGATGAAAAATAACCGACTGTATACACAGCTTTTGGATATAGATGTTTTGCATTTATGTGTGAGTTTTGGGTTCAGACTTATTAGGCCAAACATGAAAAATAATGTAAAAAAAAACACGAGATTCATCATTTAAACCAAACTTGAAGCAGATGCAGAGAACTAATCAAATAAATTGAATTTGCTCAACCTACAAACATGCAGCCTGTCCTTTCAGCTCATGGAGCGCTCTCCAGCTCTAAAGGACAACACTGTGTTTTGTGAAAAGCTACTTGAATCCTTGCATAATTAGAGGTCTCATAGCTGTGTTAAAGATGGGGGCGGAGAAGGAGGCTAGTTGAACTGCCTTTGCCAATGCAAAGTGAAAAGCAGATCGCTGTGTTTTCATCAGATTATGCTCATTAAACAGGGGCTTACACAATAGACAGAACAAGTCAGAGTGGATCAGAGGGGAAAACAAAGGACACTCAATCAATGATGCAAACAAAGGCTTGTTTCCCCTTTTCACTCTAGTCGTTTTAGTAATTTTGGAAATGTCTGAGCAAACGTGGAGCTGATCTTATTAGTGACATTTTGTTCTCGGTCTGTCATGTTCATTCCAAAAGTGATACGAAAGCGTCTTATCCTCAGGTTTATCAGATTCAGGGCAAGGTTTAAAGAATAGAGGTATCTAATTGCATCACACATAATAGACTCCACTGTCAGATTATTAGTTCTGTCAGTTGGTCATTGTTTGTCTGACAGACATCTCAGAAACATACAAACAACACTGAATTTTTACAGTGTTGAATTTTTCAGCTGAATCTAACTTCTCATGTAAACAAGATTTCAAATAGCAATAGCAAATAGCTGTTGTGTCTGATCTGCTGTCAACAGGTGACACTGAATATTCATCAGAAATTAAGTTAAGTAAATAAAATCTTACAGGTAATACAAACTCTTATAGGTAATTCTCCTCATGATAGAAAATTAGTTTAGACAACAATATCGGGTTTTACCATATTCAGAATAATAGAATGCAACTTTTTTTTAAAAAAATTTATTTTTACCAACTGTTGGAGAATGATTTGTCAACACAAAAGTATCTTTACATGTCTGGTTTTCTTTTATAGACCAGCCTAGCTTTTCTCTGCTCATTCCTCTACCATTTCTGTGTATAGTTTTAGATACGTGGTTTTCAGGGCATCAAAGATAAAGAAAGCTTTGTTGTTTGCTTCTAAAATAAAGTGTAATCAATTTATTGAAATATAACATAAATGAATGTATGAAAACAGTGTAATCAATTAACTTCAGTCCTCTACATATTTGGCATCAACACTGCCGAACTCTACCATCATTATGAATCTGACTTTTTCCTTGCCTGTTAATAAATATAGTTTAATACTGTCAGTGATCTGGGGCCTTGCAAGACACACATTCACATGGGGGCATTATTGGTAGTGGCTATTACTGGTCTGTATACTTGGAGACAGCTTGTCCATGCTGTGTAAAACCTCATTTTACATTTAGGCCATGGAAATGTAATCAATCGCACCTGAAAGTGTATCAGTGAGTCAATTATGCGAGGCAGCCTCTTCTCATCTGAAGCACCAGCATAATTAAATTGATATAAAATATCATTAGAGGTGACAGGCTGTTAAAAGATGTGGTAATTGACTGCTCTTTCAGCAAGAAGCTGCCTCAGCTCGGACTTCTGTTGCCAAACTGGAGAATGCTGCCATCTAGTGACGGAACGGAGCGATGCCTCAATCACACCAAAGTAACATGTTCGATTTGCAATGCAGCATACTTCACATTTATTAATATTCTTTGCCAGAGTTATTGACAGATAACTCTTTACAGATAATTTCAATGTCAATGACGTGAAATCACTTCCCAGATAAGGAGCTGTACAGTATCTATGGAGCATATTAGTGAGAGAACTGTTACAATCCACCTGTTCTAGAGCAAAGAAAACACACTTTACATTATTGATGTCAGTCATAGCAGACCTTCTGAAGGCACTGAAACAGTCGCAGAAAATACCAAATCAATATCTTTCAAAAATTCATTCTCATATTGCAACATATGGATATGGGTGAAGTGGTAGAGCTCTACACATGACAAACTTATTCCTAGACTTTTGGAAAGAAGAAAAGAAACAAACAATATCATTAACAACAACATCAGTAACATCAGTAGTGGGAACTACTTAACAAGAGGAAAAGTTGGTGATATTGAGGACACACACGTGAAACTGGTTGAAATGGTTTCAGTAGTCATAGTCCTTATCGATGAACTTGGCCATAGTGGACAGCTGGACGTTTGTCGTGCCCTCATAAATGGTACCTGCACATCAAGACAAAACAAAGCATTAGAACGAATTCCTGCTCGAACAAAACAAGGTCAATTTTGTCAAATTCCCCTGCACAGCACACAAATCTGCAGCTTTCACTTTTAGGAGACAAGGGGGCTTTATTATGTAGCTCACTCTGCCGGTGCTCCAGCTGGAGCCGCGGAGAGCTGAAATGGTAGTGATGAAAGGAAAAGCGACATTTTGCCCTGGCAGCTTCCTTGGCTGTGTGTAGGTATAATCACACTCTGAGAGGTCAGACGGGGGGAATTCCTGCAGAGTCCGATTACAGCCACTGCTATCAGCCCTTCTCTCCACACCCCGCTCTGGTCCAATCACAAACAGCTATACCTGACCTTCCTGCAGCCCTTCCCACACTGTAGCTTCAGCTGCGGCTACATTAACAGCCTCTAATCTAAACAACAATTTAGCAAACACTCTGCAAACACAAGTCAACATTTGTCCAGTCATGCTCACCAATTTTACAATCTCTGTAGTATTTCTCTATGGGGTAGTCTTTAGTGAAGCCTACCCCTCCCATCCATTCGATGCATTTAGATGTGGTTAGAGTTGCAATCTGAGGAAGACAAAACATAACAGATGTTATAATGACTTTAATTCAACCAGGAAAATACTCCACTGAGACTGAAAATTTATTTTTCTACAGGAATTCTTGGAGCAGTAACACACAGAATAGAGAAAAGATATTACAAAACCAGTGTTTCCCACAGAATGACAGTGCAACTGTGGCAGGAAGGGGGGTTATTTCTTATTTCACCATTTTAAATTCTACTTTATTCTCCACCTTATTTTAGTGTTTACTCACTACAGGACTCTGGTCAGCTTGCTTTTTCACCTTCAGTTCTCTTTTCCCCACATTCACCCACCCCCACACCTCTATGGCCTGTGCTACGAAGCAGGGTAACTGGTTTATCCAGGCAACTTCAGGAGTAACTTTGTGACGTCGGGTGTAACTTCCTGATTAATCCGTACTACCAAAGGTGGATAGGTGTTAACCAAGGTCTGTTGCCATGGCAATTTACGCTGCATCTCTAAACTGCTCTGAGCAGGTTATGTTCATGGTTAACTCGAGGCTTATATGTGGACTACACACCACACATAGTGTTGTGGGCTAAACCCACAGCTAAACCTGATTGTGAAGTCCAATATAATTTCCCACTGAATGCATAATACACGGCAGAGGTATGTGTGTGATGTTGCAGCCTTGCAAAGTGAAGTGATGTGGTTCCTTGAAAAAAAACAACACTGAGAGTTTCTCTCATAAATGTATGAATATAATGTCAGGGAATATTCAAGTTATTAACTTGTAGATTTATGATTATTAGTTTCTCGTAAATCTACCACATTAATATTGGAAATTCTTTTCCCCTCTCCCCTGGCTCCATTTTTTTTATTTATTACAATGGACATAATGTGCAGTTGTACCTTTACATATTACACACAAATGAAGCGTCCATAAAATACAAAATAGAGAATTAGCCTACTATAAGAACAATGTGAAGATAATTACAAATTTATTCAATGCAATTACAACAAGCCTCCCTAGCTTTGTCGGCCGCCACAATATTAGATTTAGCCATTAACATGTCTTTAAACTGTTCATATTCTGACACAATCAACGTGCATTCTTCTAGAGAAAATACAGAGCATGCGCCGTTGCGAAAGAACTCTGCCTGCACGGCCACCCAGTTAACATCGACTCTTACATCTTATTCACCGTCTTAGTACCATAGTACTCTCTCTCCCTGTATGTGTTTGCTCTGGTGATTTTCTTCATCAGCAGTACGTTTTATAAAGTCAGAAAGACACAGAACTTGACTTTTGGATTTCTCCACCTGCAATTCCATTTTTACGGCAGCAGGTGTACCACATGTAGAGGAGGCTTTTTAATGACATAGCCTATCGAAACGTTTGAAACCAGTGTGGTACTGAAAGACATCTGCATTGGTGTGTTCACTGTTGCTTTTCTGTGCTTGTGAAATTTCTACTGTGTCCGCGGTGTAATGTAACACCAGATAACATCTCTCTTCTCTGCAAAATACTAAAATGGGTCACCAAATATACTTTGGGGACATTAATATACGTGGGTGTCCTGCCCAAATAAAGTCTTTATGTGGGAAACCCTGTATAACACAGACTTATACAGTAGATCAATTATGAAAAAAGTAACCAAGGTCCAACAACACAGTTGAGGTCAGAGGAATAATGCTAAATTAATAAAACACCTGAGTGCTATAACAAGGAAAAAAATGCTACTAAATAATATACATAAAATGTATAAAATCCAGTATATCCTACAAATACACACATACAGTTCCAAAACCCCAGCAACACCATCCTTGTATTGAGCGGTCATCAATGAATGAGGAAGCTCACCTCTGCGTTGAAGTATTTAGCCATGCATGCCTCCTTAATGAAAGGTCTCCCAGCTTCCTTCAGACGAGCAGCGTTGTATGTCAACAGCCGACCAGCTTCAATCTGTGTTGCTACGTGGGCTATTTGGTGCTGCATGCCCTGGAATACAAAGAGTAACATAACAACACCACCACAAACACCACTGAATACGCCAGCCTCCAGAATAACGTCAATAAACACAAACATGTTATCTAAAAGGGAATGAAATCTATTTTGGATCTACCTGGAAGTCAAAGATACGTTTTCCAAACTGCACCCTCTGTCTGGTGTAAGGAATAGTGTGGTCAAAGCAACCTTGCGCCAGCCCAAGCATCTAAAACACACACAGAAAAAGTTAGCACATGCAACATTTCAATTTTTACACTTTGTAAAGTTGAGTAGAGCCCATTAAGCTTGTTTAAAATCATTTACTTTAAAATGTCTCATGGTTTTTACCTGAGCTGCAATTCCAATCCTGCCCTCATTCAACATTCCGATGGCGTACTTGTACCCATGACCAATCTGTCCCAAAATGTTCTTCTCAGGTATCTACGACGGAGAGCACAAAGTTACTAAAAGTCGCAGTATGCATTTCTTTCACATCGGTCCGGTACAGTACGAGGCGTTTGGAGGTACCTTGACATTGTCAAAGTTGAGTGGGCAGGTGGAGGACGCGCGCAGGCCGAGTTTGTTCTCCTTCTTGCAAATCTCCAGCCCCTCCGTGTCCCGGTCCACAATGAAGCAGGTGATGCCTCTGTATCCCTGTCAATCAACAGTCACTTTGTCTTTATATTTGCACACATTTCTGTAAGAGTATTAAAAGCATCTGTGTCAACACGGTGTCAAAAGTGGAATGAAACTAAGCACATTTACTCAAGTACTGTACTTAAGTAAAGTTATTTTGAGTTACTTGTACTTTACTTGAGTAAATCCATTTTATGCTACTTTATACTTTTTACTACTACATATTTGATAGTTTTAATTAGTAGTTACTTTGCCGATTGATATTATTAATATAACAATATAAATCCACTAATAAATGATGATGTATTATTATCGATTAAGCTACCTATCAGTAAATCAAGTAATTCAAATTTGCCCCACTTTTATGAGCTACAACATTAAAGTGACGTCCACATTAATTCCTCATAATAAAGTAATTTTTATTTTATTTTTTATTATTATTATGAAATGGGCCATTCTGCATAATGTGTACTTCTACTTTTAGTACTTTAAGTATATTTTGATGCCAATACTTTTGTAATTTTTCCAGTACCATCATACCCTAATGGTATTTTTACACTGTAATATTTTTACTTTTACTTTTAAGTAAAATAACCAATACTTTGCTCACTATCGGGTTTTATGAAAATAAAATCAGTACAATCCAATCCAATATGTCTGTGATAAAAACTACTTGTGAGGACCTTAAATGTTTAGCTTTTGTTGAGACTGAGTTAGAAAGGTCTTGAATTAACTACATAATATTTCCTGTGTTTATCAATTTTTTTTATGTTGCATATTTAGGGTATTTGACAGCTGAATCGCATTTAAGCAAATCAGATGTTACTGTTCATTACACACCTTTTTGATGCAAGAGGATGAGATCAGGTATTTCTACATAAAGATCTTCCTACAGTACAATACAATAAATAACTGTCGACAACAAGCAACAAGAATAGTAGGATGAACAGTTACTCACAACGGAGGGATCCACATTGGCCATCACGAGGAAAACACCTGCATGCTCCGCATTGCTGATCCACATCTTGGATCCATTGATGACGTAATAGTCCTTATGTTTTTCAGCACGTGTCTTCAGAGCAAAGGCATCACTTCCCGCCTCTGCTTCAGAGAGGCAGAAGCTTCCAATCTGTGTGACATGTCACAATTGTTCAGATTATGTGGTTGGTTCTCTAACAACATCTTTCTGTCAGGGCTGTCTTCCTCTCCAGAAAGCAGCTTTTGATCTATGCCACAATGACAATGTAGTGTTTGTTTACCATGTCAGTAGACAGCCGGCTGAGGTACTGCTCCTTCTGAGCTGGCGTACCCAGTTTGGCAAACAGTGTGTTGATCAGTGTGTTTTGAATGTCGCAGAGCACAGCCACAGAGGGGTCCACCTTTGCCAGCTCCTCAATGACCAGAATGGAGGAGAAGAATGAGGCACCTGTGCCACCGTACTCTGGGTCAATCTCAATGCCCATGAGCTGTAAAGAGTCAATATTAGTCACTGGATAGAAAAAAAGAAAAAACTGACACTGACTTAATTGATTTAACACTTGTGTTAAATCACAATTAAATGAATCAACTAGTACATACACCCTGTTCAAAGAGAGATTTGATCACTTCATCGTCCATGGCAGAATTTTCATCCATCTTCGACACCAACGGAGCAATGCGCTCTTGTGCATATTTTTTCACTGTCAAACAACAAGACAGATGTTTAGTGTCGGTGAGGAATTCGTGCAACACACACGTGCTGCAAGATTCACAGCTCACCCGCGTCCCTCATCATGCTCTCCTCCTCTGAATATGTCTGAAGGGGAGGAAAGGAGACCACCCCAGCTGCCTGGCCTGAAGCCACATCTGGGGCAAGTCTGCTGGACACGCTCCTCCATCCAGCCTGGCATGCCCCCCAAGGTCGAGATATCTGTCTGCAAGACTAGAACCGGGGCAGACAACAATGTGAAATGTCTATCTGCGTGTATGGGTACATGCACAGTTTTAATAAGACTACTAGGTTGTCATGTCGGCCATCACTCAACACTAACAATAAAGTTAAATTGATCAATTAGACGTCTATTTTGCTGCTCAGCTAAGTTACTGTTCGTTTGTGCTCTCAAGTTAGCATTAGCCGTCTTTTAGCTAGTAACGTCACATCAGCAGTATCCTGCCAGGTTACGTAATTCAAGGATAAAGATTTGATACAGTGGAAAACATATTAAAACCGGTGCAAAACCCTGCAAATGTAAACAACTACGTTCATAGTTTTCAGCCTCACCTTTGAGAAAACTCTGACCAACGGCGCAGCCATGATTTCTTATAAAATGTTTACATGTGATGCTGCCTTCAAGTGCCCCTTTGCACGTGTCAGACATTCGAGTTTATGGTGTGTCTCAGCGTTAATGATAAAACTATTCAGTTAGCAGTTATTGTACAGAATTTTTTATACTTAATTATAGACTGTGCTATATGGTGATTACGTGAAAGGGACAAACTAGGGCAAACCGGATAACATAGGAAAATCTACCACTTATTTAAGAGACTTTCATGAGACTCGTTTGGATGTGCGAAAACGATAAACCCTTTTTTCCCTGACTGTACACGAAGGCAACAGTTGCGTTTGTGGGGACACGGAACACAGACGTATAAGAAAAACGGAAGCGTTCACTTGGTAACAGTTCTATCCGGATCATTTTCCCCAGGGCTCAATTTTCACACTTCTCTATGCTTAGCGATAATGTCACTTCGGCGCTGAAAGGTAAGCTATGGACTGTGTTGAGCATGGTGTCAGATATTCGGGTTAATTTTAATGAAATTTGTGTCGAGCTCGCTAACGTAGCCATTAAGCTACGTCAACGTTAGCTAACGTTACTATAGGTTATCGGCAGTCACATGTGAAAACAGAGTTGTCACACGTCTGCCTATCGACTCATCTCTGGATCTTTTCAGGTTAAACACAGAAGAAGGAAGATGGAGGACATAAAGACCGAGCCTGTGGATTTTGTGAGGGAATTTCAAGAATACCTAACACAGCAAACTCAGCATGTCAACATGATCTCGGGCTCTGTTTGCGGAGAAAAAGAATCAGGGGAGCCGTTTCACACCGGTGGGAAGTATATACAATTAAAGATTACTGCAGTACGTCTTTGGTTAGTAAAGAGTAAAATCTTAAAGTCACTGCTTTGGTTTCAGCTGCGCCCAGGAGTGAGCAGAATGGTCAGGACCCTCCGTCTGTGGAGGTGAGCCTGTCAATGGAGGACGGGTCAGACGTACAGATGGACGGGCTGGAGAGGACCTGCGATGGAAAGTACAAGTGCAGCTACTGCAGCTATGCCAACAAGGGCATGGCTCGTTTAATAGAGCACATCCGCATCCACACAGGTCAGTGTTTCCACTTTGTTCACTCACTAAGCCAGCACCATGTCCAAAAAACATCTGCAGTTAATCCAGACACACTTACTTAGGAACTGTATATATTTACCAATGTCTCTAAAGACAATGGCCCTCACCCATTAAGTTCAAGGTGAAACAACATCCTTTTCATAATCAGATATTATGCTATTATTGTACATGTCAGCTACATGTCAGTTTTCTCCAATAATGGATACAGTAATACCACTGAACTCTCACATACTACACAGACCCCAGATTCTGACATTATCATATGCAAAATCCTGCCCAAATCTGACTTCTAGCTGAATTTTTAGAAGCATTCTAGTTGGTCAAAAACAGAACAGAGATGTGCAGAAGCTAATCTCACCATGGTTTACTCTCTCACAGTTTTAGTTATATCAGGTAATATCAACATTATAACTGCAATTATGTCCTCTTCTGATTGTCACCCAGGCGAAAAGCCTCATCGCTGCCAGCTGTGCTCATTTGCCTCGGCATACGAGCGCCACTTGGAAGCCCACATGCGCTCACACACAGGAGAGAAGCCGTACAAGTGTGACCTCTGCACCTTCCGCTGTAGCGACCGCAGCAACCTGTCGCATCACCGCCGCCGACGCCACAAGCTTCTGCCCACCAGAGTCATCCGCTCGCCTTTCTCCAACAAGAGAATGTTGGGCTCCTTGCAGAAGAGGACGGGCTCGCTGGGCTTCAGCAGGCGGCTGCTCCTCAACTTCAACCCTAACTCCATGGTTTTGCCAAAGACGGATTATCTGAATGACTTGTCTCACAAGATCCACCACCATTTGAACAGTAGTGAGTATAAGAACCTTCCCAGGGGAGATGAGAACGACAGTCGCAACAGAGCTGCTAATGGTTTGACTTTTAATAACCCACTGGACCAGCTGTCTACACTTGCTGGCCAGTTGGCCGACCTTCACCCCGAGCCTCAGACTCCTCCATCCCCAGACAGGGAGTCCTTAATAGACGAGAAGCCCATCCTCATACAACAGGTTTCTAGTGAACACGATGCATCGTGTTCAAACGGAGTGCAGACTTCACCACCTAAAAAAGAATCCCCCACCTCAGGACACGGGAGTTGCAGTCCTGTTCCCGGCCTCGTCTTTGAGAACACCATGAACACTCTTACTGCGAGTGTAAGCAACAGCCAGCCAAGCACACCCGCCCCTGCCCTGACTGCATCAGACCAACAGCTCTTACATAGGTGCCAGCATTGTCATATTCACTTTCTGGATAATATCCTCTACACCATTCACATGGGCTGCCACGGCTACGAACATCCATTCCAGTGCAACATCTGTGGTCACATGTGCGTAGACCGGTACGATTTTGCATGCCATTTTGCCCGTGGACAACATAAGTGATTCCTTGCAACATGGATGCATATATTCTCGTGTTTTCAATATATTGCTCGTACAGCATCTAAAATGGTGACACTGATTTACATTTTAAATAATTGTTATGTACAGTTTTACTATTCCTTTTTATTTAATGCTCACTAACTGCACTATATTGTTGCCTTACTGCAGTTCTAAATCGCTCCTTACTTTGAGCTTTTCATATTAGTTTTGGATTGTTGCATTCAAACGGTGGACAAAACAACAGAAACATCTTGCAATACAGCAGCTCTGCAGCAAAAACACAAAATGATGCTAACAAAGTTTCATTTCAACTCGCCCTAGATTCGGTATTTGGTAGGTCATTGTGACCACTATCCCTTTTTGCCAATGCAGCCACTTGCGTTTGGCATATTATCATGATTTTAGGGACTCACCATGTCTCATTATTTTGTAGTGAGTCAGCAGGATTTTACTTACAGGCAGCTATATATGTGACATGTTTAATAAAACAGCAATTAACAGTATTTAACACCAAACATTATGAGCTTCACCAGCTCAGTATTCATTGGGGCTGTTACAACTGTAATTTTGCCCACCATCTGTAAATCGCTTGTTTGTTTGTTTTTTAACAATATCTTTATTGGATTTTAATTTTCCAAAAAGACATACATGAACGAATAACAGCAGAGAGGTGTCTAAAAGGGTACAGACGTACCCTTACACCCATACACCGTCAGAACAAATTTTTCATATTGTACACACTTGCTCCATACAACTGTACCCACAAGACAAAACTGAAACATGGCGGTCCGGGGGCCTCCTCAATGAATGCACATAATCATGAGTCCACAGAAGACATTAACATATAGTCCAGAGAGCAGGAGAAGAAGAAACTGGATCGTGCAAAGGGTGCACCTATACTGCCCGTCCATCAAGCGCGACAAATCATTGTCCTTCATATATGATGAAACGACCCCATACATTCTGAAATACCTCCTGTCTGTCCTTAAGAGTGTAAGAATTAAGGTAAACAAGAAGTTAATTCCCTAAATCACACAGTGATAGCAGGTTTACCAAAGTTTTTCCATGTTAAGACTATTTCGCTTGTAGAGATAAATAGCTTGTTGGTCTAATTACACACCAACCTTTTCCGTCACCTGGACACATGCTTGCTGTGAGAAATGCAAGTGGGATGTTCAGGCTGACAGCCCAATCAGCACATTATTCTGTTTAAAGTGTGTGTTCAGCCATACTTATAATCATGCTCTGATATTTATTTATTTATACCTCACTCCATAGACTGCAGAAGGTGTCAACCAAATCAATCAGTAATATTTTAGATAGATTTCAATATTGTTTTTGTTACTAATCTATACGCATAAAACAATTTTCTACAAATATTTATCATTATTGTCTTGCATAGTTTTTGGTAGTGTAGCCTATGTACCAATTTTTTGTACAAAATCTAATTTCACTGTAGCCACTTCTCATATATATACATATATATAGTAGCAGATATTGAGACACTGTAAAGATCCCTGTGACTATAAATGTGTAGTCATTTTAATTAGTAGCTTTGGTTTGAGACTGTACGGTAGATGGCCACGTGTTTCGATGTATCTTGAGATAACATTAAAGAAACATTTTCTTTTCTTCACTTGGTGCCACAATGGTCCACAAACTGAGGAGCAGGTGATAAGCAAAAGTACATTTTATTTACACTGAATTAAATAGAGCACATTCACTGGTGACTTTTGACACGATTAAATCTGCCTTTGTGAAAATTTAATAAAAGATTCAAGTCATTTATTTTCATTCATGATTCTCAACAGGATTTCCTTTTTCTCATGGTCAAAAACGTTCATTGCGGTTTTCACCACACGCTCTACATTAATGTCCTCTTCTTGAGTGAAAGGGACTTCCTGAAGCAGCTGCCTCCGCAGGCTGTGAAGAAATGTTGCTTTGGATTCATTTAGCTGAGCAGCCAAAGACCTCATGTGCTCAGGGGGTATTTGGTTGTCTAGAGTTAAGGTGACAAAATTATCATTATGCTGGGCTGCAAAAGACAAACTGAGTAAAATGTCAAAATGTGTAGTATTAATGAAGCTCACACAGCTGACCTCTGGCTGTCTTCATGGCTTCAGAGATGAGGCGTCGACAGGCCTGGTCGGCCTGGTGAACCACACTAGTGGCACATTTTAGGCGGTCAGCCTCCTGCAACAGTATCAGACCACAACACAAATAACTTCTCCACTTCTGCAGGTACATATTTAAAAATCCACCAACAGATTTGACAGGAGCTATGTTGACACACCGTTTGTTCTGTGTTGTCCTGAACCGGGCTCAGCGGGTTGCTCAGTGCAGAGGTGATCAACTCCATGACCCTCTGGCTGAGGACAAGCCATACAGGAGGAGAAATTCAGAGGCTACGAATGAATACTTGATGATGACTATGTTTGTGAATTTTGGTAATAAGCATTAATAACTGCTCTATTCTGTGGCCTTACATGTCACATTTGGCCAAATTGTCTGTGGTGTTGAGTGAAATGCTGTTTGTTTCCCATGAGTTCTTCTGTGGATTTGGAGGCTCCAAACGCTTCACCATCTCCAGTATCACCTCAGTGGGAATTGGTTCAGACCTGCTCTGGTTTCTGCTGATGCAGGATTCCAGATCACACTGCAGATACACCTGACAGAAACCCAGAGAATCTAAAAAAAAGACAACTGATAAATTAATTCAACCAAAGGGAAACTATTTAAAATGCACACAAGTGGTTTTGCACGTTTTATACCATAGTGTATCACAAGTTTTCACTCACACAAGATATCTTGTCATACAGGCAACCACCATGCAGTATTTTTTCAGCATATTGAAAAAACGAATGTACTTGGATCAGTAATTAAGCATTGTAAACATTTACTTGGCATTCAAATTTAGCAACATTATGTTCTTGTGTTGCAAGACAGTGGTTTTCACAGTATTCACTGGTTCATTCGGGGGCTTGCAGGAGGCTTCAATATTGCCAGATTTAAAGGTTTTGGAGTATGAAATCATTATAAAAGCTTATAGTATGCCTTAAAAATTGCAAGCAGATATCCAAATTTTGCATCATTTGTACTTAAAGTATTAAACACGCAAACTACCAGTGTTGTCATTTATGAACAAGTTAGTGGCCTATGCTGTAGGAAATAGAGTGCTTACACTTTCTTGCAAGTTGGTACACTTCATATCTCATGCTTGGATAGTAGAAATTGTCATCCAGTAGAAAAATTAGTGGTATGCAGTCAGCGTGAGAGTGGCGCAGAACTTCAGGCTGCCGTAGAGTTTGAATACACTGTTCCCACGCAGCCCTGTTGATCTGGCAGCGGCTCGGCAACTCGGCCAAAACTTGAGGTTTCACCAAGAACTGCTCGATGCACCGCAAAACTGCTTGTCTATGTGACTTCCATTCAGTGTGCTAGAAATAGAAAAAAAAGTCCACCGATCAATAAAACCTTTTTTATGCATGCTGAAAATATGAAACTAAATGTACATTGCTATGGCACAAGACACACAAACCCAAATTACTCTTTACCCTTTTTTCTTTTTATAGTTTTTTTTTTCTTTTTACAATTGTTTGGGCTATAAAATGCCAGAAAAATTTAAAAGAAAAATGCCTTCACAAGTTCCCAGAGCCTGACATACAAATAATAATCGTGAGAAACTGCAACCAGTAAATTGCAAAAACTAGATATTTTTCCTTAAATAACTTAAACGATTAATCGATTTTAAAAATTAATCACTTCACCGCTGCTTATTGTGGTTTACCCTCAATCTGCCCTGTATCATCGCTTATGATATCTCTAAATAATAATAATACAACGTTGCATTTTGCTGAAATATGCTATTCTCACAATACAGTTATACTCTTAATAGCGCAAATCCTTGAGACATTAACATTGTACTTGTAGTTTGTAATTCAATATAACTGTTTTATGGAAAGTCCACTTTTAAATCGTGCTATTCTCACGTTTCTAGTTTTGGATACGTGTTGGTGCTGCCACTAGATAGAGGCAGTATGACCAATTCAAATCCCGAACTCGCAGTAAAGATCTGCCAATTTAGTTCAACTGTATTTACCATTTCTTGCAGTTTGACACCGTCCTCCACCACTTTGGTCTGAAAGGCATGCTCCGGGATAAGGTTGTCATACGGCACCAAACTGGCTCTCCATCCTTGCTGTGCAGCGGTGCTGAGGACCTTGTGGGCCAGCGTGGACTTCCCAGCCGCAGGCAGCCCGCAGAGGACACACAGGCAGGCCGGAGCCCAGCCGACACCTCCAGCTTCCTCTGCTGCCATGTGCTACCAGAGAGCCGCTTTAAAACCCGGCTTTTTACATGGTGTTATAGCCATAAGGTATTCTGCACAGTGGTTGCAGTTTACAACTAACTTCCTGCATCATGCCACGTCAGGTCAAAAACGTAAAGGATCATGTAACTTCCGGCCATGATTCTTTCAAAATAAAAGGCCACAAAGAGAAACAAGGTGGAAAACCTGTTTTTTTTCCTTAACTGTAGGATATGTAACACAGGATGCGCATTGTTTAAGACAGTGGTTTCCAACCTGGGGGCAGAACCCCGCAAGGCATCCAAGGAACACGATGTGTAAAAGTGTATGTACCATTTCTGAGCAGTTTTTTCTTGTAAAACACTGAATATATTCACTCTCCATAAATCACCCAAATGAAATAATCTGAGAAGGAAAACTACTCTTCGACTGAACTGCTCACATCGACACTGAGGCTGTGATGAGGAGTCAGTGGTAGAAAGATTTATTTTAAAGGGTTACAGGCCAAACAAAATAGGAACCACTGGTTAGGACTCTCAAATGTAGGCCTTTTGTTTTTCAAATTAAAATTTGTCTGGGCAGTAAGAGAACTACTAACTCAATGGAAAGGCAGTTAGTCCCTATAAGCTACAGATGATGCCCAAGAGCATGAATGGAGATTAAAGTAATTGATTCAGAGCAGTGACACACCCATACTTGATTCACTTCAGGACTATCTGCATTCTTTGAATAACTCCATGACAAGGCAAAAAGCAAAGTATGCTATTGCTTTATGTGTATTCCTGACACTTTCATGGGCCCAATTTGTACCTCTAATGTATTATCAGCATATTAGTGTGACAGATACTAGGACACATGAACACGTAGTACAAAAGAGTTAACTACACTTCCAAGAAAGCCTCACTCACATGTCTGATAGCAAACATGTTTTTATTACAATTTATTACAATTAACATTCATGAAATCACAAAATCTTTGAAAAAATATACAGTAGTATCAAATACAAAAGATTTGATGATTTAAAAATATATTTTATGTGCAATTCTTTCCAATGAGTGATAAACTGGAATCTAAAAAAAAAAAAAAAAAAAGACACATATTCCAATAAATATTTACATGTCTACTGTACCAGCCTCATCCACCACCTGGTTATTACTGTCACTGTAAAAAAGGTTACAGTGAGTCTATTATAATCACAGTGTTTTAACACAGTCTCTTCATACAATGTTGAGCTGTAGTGAACTCCATACATTCACCAAACAACTGAAAATATGTAGTATAAAAAGTGAATCAGTTCTGTGGCTGCTTGGGTGGGATGGGTTTGGGCACTCCGGGGCCTTGAGCAGGAGCTGGTCGTTGTGGAGGGGCAGTGCTTGCTTCTGTATTCCAGTAATCTAGTTCTCCATACCTGAAACTGACAGGTTGTGTGCAGATGCAGTTAAACCAGTTACACAGTGTGCTTCAAGTTCAATTTGTGTGTGAGGGCAATATGTATTGAGTGAAACAAAGAAAGTAAAATCAGTTCATACCCAGCAATTGGAACTGAGGTAGCTGGCAGACTTCCAGGCTGGAATTAGAAGAAAGAACAAGAACATATAATCCGCCTGTCTGTACAAAACATGTACCATTTCTGATTAATTTTACCTTCCCCACAGTAATGGAAAAACAGTTTTCCTACTGCAAAATGAACATTGCACTGCCTTGCCTGCAGTGATGATTATTAAGAAAAACAAAAATATTTACCCTATCAGGGGGAGCCTGGGTTGTGGCACTTGTCTGAACATTGCTGTTTGACTGTGCATTTGCATTTCCTTTTTGAGCATTACGTGTCCTGTGAAAGCAAAAAAACAAAAACAAAATTCTTCTGAAAAGCAATACAAAATTTTAAACTTTGTAACTGCAGCCTTTAAAATATCAGCATATTCTTAATGTGAGGTGATGTTTACTTGAGACGGTTGGCAAGGCTTCCTTTTAGGCATGGGTCCAGGGAATCTCTCCTGAAGATGTAGAGCAGCACCAGAATGAGAAAGACCAGAACAGGAACCACCAACAGGAAGAAGATCAACAGGCCATTCCTGAGGGAGTAGTCTGAGGTAGAAAAAGTCATGTGTGAATAAGGAACATTGCAGTATTTCATTTTTGATATTTATTTATTTCAAATACAGTGAAGGGGTGTAGAAAAGACAATTTACTATTTAGTATATTATATATATCTTGTTCCCTTTAGTTCTTTATGCTCTTGACTGAGAGGCATCACAGCCTTAGAAGACAATTAACATTCATCTTTTTTGTTTCTGATCCAACAAGAAATCCAGCTGAGGTAATGGACATTGAACTTTCAACATCATTAAAATGATATAAGATCAAAACATAGTGACCTGGGTGCGGCAACAACAATATAATGAAAGAACCACTGCTACCACAGTCATGCCAGCAGAGGACATAATGATTAATATATGAGTAATATGATGCCCTTATGTAGGACTACTATAGGCCACACAGTCTTGTATTAGATTACTATGTATCTAGCGATGCATTTAGAGAACTTCATTGTTGATTTCCATCTGTGGCCCCAACTAGAGCTTGTGAGTGTTGCACTCGGTAAACTATATGTAGTAAAGTACCTTTGACTTTCTGTGTACTTCATCTTGAAAAGTGAATTGATGAGAGGAATTTAAACCTACCTATCTGAGCAGGACCACTGTCTATGCTGCCACCTCGCCCTGGCCTGTCACAGTAAGGTGGGGCCCACCCATTTTGACAGTGGCAGTGCCCAAGGTTATTACATATCTGAAGGAAACATTATAACAGAAAAGTCAGACTTATTAATGGCTGGTAACTTGGTAAAGCAATTCAAGAAAATGCCGTCTTACCCCTCGGCTGTTGCAAGTGGTCTTGGCGTCACAAGTCAAGTTGGGCAGCAGAGCAGAAGCGTTCACGCACTGAAAGTTCACGCAGGACTGAAAGAGAAGACATAACTTATTGATGCAATCAAAATTATTCATTAGGTGTTGTCATTCCACTAACAAGGACAGTATTGTCCTGAAACAAGTCAAGTCACATTTTGTTCCTGTTTATTTTCATTCTTTTAGCGTGTACACTTCTTAAAATAGCTTCCAGTCTTTAAAGTCCGCTTACCTTTCCAATATCACAGGGGCTGCCAGGTTTAACGTAGGCAGGATCTGGCACATCTGTGCCGAGGTTGAAGTCTGCATTAACACAAGTTGACCCTTGAACTACTTGGAAACTGACTTGGGCGCCGGGAGGGATGATGCTCAAGTCCACGTTAGTACACTGCACCTTTCCACACATGGAGTTTCTGCAGGGCAGGTTCAACACAGTTAGTTCTCACAGTTGTAAAGGAGTTAAATGCTTTCTTTAACTAACACAATCAGGTTGTGTCACAACATTATGTTTAAAATGACAATGTTAAGAATAATAAATTAGAAAGCTTTCAACTCTGATAAAATAAACCTACTTACCAAACAGAGGATCTTGGATATTAAGAAATATTACTTTTACAGTTGTATCTACATGGGTTTGCCAAGCTCAATTCTGCTGAGAGGATAGATGTCATATTAAGTTCATATCATTGAATGATTAAAAAAAAAAGTACTTACGCTACACTACATGGGATATAGCCTCCATTGCTGGTGATTCCACAGTTTCCAAATAAGTTTCCTCTAGTATTTGCATTCTGAAAACAAACATCAGCTGCCTTTCTTGCTTGACCTGCAGAAAAGAGGCAATATATCTGAGATAAAATATATCTAAACATATCTAATATATCTAAAATAAAAAAGTATTATCTGTAGTTAGGGTGTTAAACAAAAAAGTAATGTATTTGACTGACAAAGGGTGTAAGGCTGACAAAAATATGAACAAACCTCACAGTTTCTGGAGTTAATGCTTGATACAAAGGCACAGAAGTCTTTGTATGAAGCATTATTAAATGTACCTGTTGCAAAGAGTTGTTTGCACTGGAAATCATACGTCTGGCATCGGCCCTCATAGCAGTACGCACTTCCACAGGGCAGGCCGTCCATGACATAGAAATCAATGGGACAGAACGCACTTGTGCCATTGCAGTATTCAGGAAGATCGCATGTGTTGACAGACTCTCTGCATGGCGTTCCAGAAACTCTGATCTAAAACAAAAAACAATCACACTTTTTGTTTTCCCAAAGTAAAATGTATTGCTTCATTCAGTGCAGTCATAAAAAAAGAAATAAAAAATGTTAATAACTCCAGCCTTAAGCCCAACATAATGCTAACCTGACAGTTGGCACAACAGCTCCCCGCAGCACAGGTGGCCCCGCGTGCAAATGTACAGGTGGCAGCATCACAGCAGTCATTGGTGCATTCCTGCATGAAATGGAAACAGAACAACTGTGTCTACCACCACACTAAAAACAAAAAAGCAAAAAGACTATTTTCGTTGTCAAAATACAGGTTTGTACCATATGACAAACTCTTCAGCTTCATGAAATGCTCATTTCGAAATTGAAGGTAAATTATAAAGGCATTCTCTGCAACTCAACTCCATTGTTTCTGTCAGTACCATCAGTTACATTACAATAAAATTATGCATTATAAACAATATACCTTCAAGTCAATTCTGTTCTGTAACTTGTGTAATCTGTGCATGTGCATGAGTTAATCTGACAGGCAGAACTGTACCTGTGGTGTGCCACAGTCACACTGCTCTCCTGTCTCCAGCTGGCCATTGCCACATACAGGAGTACCAACCACTTCTGATGCGGAGGGCTGGTTTCTCAGACACACGCCTCCTCCACGAATGATCAGTGCCTCAAAGTCAGTTGCACTGCAGCTGCTAAAACTGGTTGAACCACTACAGGGTAACAGGATAAACCATTAATTGAAATATCCATTTGGCCTTACATTACTAAACAATCTTTAGTAAGAACAGACATTTTTGTTGTCAACTTAACATGAATTAGTAGTTTGTAATTACTTTAGATTATCAGCACAATGTTTGGATATTGTTAGATTACCTTAGTCTACAATGTTAAATCCAGATAGAAACAGTTAAAATATTAATATTAAGATAATATGTTTGCTTTTTACAAGCATCTGATAAATGGATTGAGTGTACAACTTTTCAGTACAATAAGAGCTGCTTCAAAAAGAGGCTTAATTTAATAATTTTAATTTCAGGGAAGAAAACCAGCCTGTTTTCTATGACTATTGAAAAAGGCATAGAATATACTATAAACTATATTAAGTAGGCTACATTTGTATTTTCATATATTTCATGTCAAGGTTTAAGAAATATTTTGTGAAAGATATGTTACCTAGCAGAGGCTGACATGATGCAGCTTTTTCCATTACAAGTGCAGCGGCCATCATCGTGATTCATGCCCAGGTTATGGCCCATCTCATGGGCCACCACAGTGGAGATATAGGGCAGACTATTGTCGCTGAACTGTGAAAACACACCCATAGTGTTAACATTATCCATAGTTAAATGTATGATTCTGAATTGAAAATAAAAGTCATTTAACATTATTATCATAAAAACAAAACTAAAAAGAGTTTTCGCTATACATACATCGTCCTTTAAAGAAGAGTATTTTTATGTCAGAGTTTTTCTTTCCAGTATGACTTTAAAATGATATTAAAGGACTGTCATGCATCACAATGCAAAATAATGTAAGGAATCCAATGACCCAAAAAACATTTCCTTGTCATAGAGCTTAATAATACTGTGTTCAAGTCTAACCTGTTTGTTATTCAGAGTCTGTGAGGGTTAGCAGCACTTAAGAGAACCTGACCATGATTATGAATAATGCAGATTCAGTCTCAGATTCTGGCTCATGCTGCCAAAGAGCTATGGTGTCAGCTAGTTTTAGAAGGAAGTTGAACTAACCACAATGATTCCTCCAGAGGTTGATACGGAGCAGACCGTGCCCACAAAGGCCATTCCTAATATACTTCCGCTGTATGGGCTGGGCTGACCCCTAACAAACAAGTGGATCAAGACATACTCTAAGTCACAAAATGTACTCAATATAACTCAAAAAGAAAGACAAAGAACACACATTACTTACACAATGAGTTGAGCCATATCATTCCTAATAAGTGGTAATAGTACAGTCTTCCGCCACGCAACAAACCTCCCCAACACCTCCCCTGCATTGCCATTCACACTAAAGGGATTACTATCCTTAAAAATCTTCAGGCCCACCAGCACCACACGAATATTCAACTGCTTGTAATACTAGAATGGAACAGAAAATAACAGCAAAAAAATTATGAAGCATAGCACAAAACCATAAGAATTCATTTGAATTTTGCATTCTTTCTTTTACAAAACAACTTGAAATCTCACCCCATCCAGTAGATTAGCAATTTCCACCATTTGCACTTGTACAGCCGTGTCATTTCGTTTCATATAATTATACTGTAAATGCAATCAATAATAACATTTATTAATAATTTCCTAACAGTTATGACACACTGGTTAATACTATTGGTATTATATTCCACAAAATTAGGAAAAGAAGCGCAACATTTGAGGGAAAAGCACATTGCTGACGATTCCAAGGCTGATGAGTCAATGAGTAGGGTAAAAGTGCTCATCTACTTGCATCTAGTCTAAAAAGCAAACCTGATGCTACCACTTTATTCTCACTTACATTCCAGTTAACTCATAAACAGATATATACTTACCCTGAGATTATCGACAACCAGCACCAACTCCACATAACTGGTTTGAGGTAAATTGCGCTTCCTCTGTTGATGCCACAAACAATAAAGATTTAGAACATCGGGCACTTTCAATTTTAAAACCTGTTCACACTATAAAGATACGTTCAAGTGAAAGTAGTGAGCATCCTAACCCGCAGCAGTGAAGCTAGCGATTGGCCAGGCTCAAAGGGTTCATAGCTTTGCTTTGATGTGTCAGCCTCACTGACGACCCCACAGGCGACTGGCTCGGACTGAATGTCCTTCAGTAGGTACAGAATGTGCTCATTGGTGGCAGACTGTGGCATAGGCTCAAGTCCATAGGTCTCATTTCCAAGGATGATCACACCCCTACAGAGAATCAGTGCATAGCAGACACACAATTAAATAAATGCTTTCAGTCTGTTCCACTGTGTGGTGCAGAACTGCAAACCCAGCTCTAGTTCAATTTATCACTCAAAGGAGGAACTAGAAACTAAACTGTAGAGAGATGTTCAAACCTCAGGCCAGAGCATGTGCTGAGTGCCACCACTGAATTCTGATCTCCCTCCACCTCTCCGTGGTAATAGCAATTCACCTGGGGGGGGGGGAAGTAAACAGCTTCAAGTGTTGTTAAAAACCACACTAACAAAGCAGAAGGACAAAATGTTGACTTACAAGTTCTTTTGGATATGATGACCTGTGGTTACCAATGGCGTCAAGTGAATACTGAACAAAGTTTGGGTGTATAAAGTCTCTGACAAGAAAATAAATAAAAAGCTTAAGGGATAATTCATCTGAAGCACCAACAACTTAGACTACAATAGTGTTATAAGAAACATTAACAAAGTCCTAACTCTGTGCATACCTGTTCTTTTGTAGATGAAGAAGGTGTGTTCTGTTGTTTATTTTGAGTGAATATGTTAACATCTCCTCTCCATATTTCTGAAATGGGAAAATACAAAAAGGCATTCTTAATATTGTCATATTAAAATATAAATTAAAAAGATAATTTAATTAAGTTTGTTACTCACCTCTTCTGATTGTGGTGGTCTGATGATGCTCCTTGTCCATCTGTGAATCGCCTGAGGATTTACAATGGTGTACTTGAAGGGTTTTTGCCCATTGAAAATGCCTGAAAGACAGTAAATATACAGATAAACTGTCATTATTTAGTTAGGTATTGCTTAACATAAAAAGAGGAAGATGAATAGAGGAATATTTCTAGCCTTAACTCTTTGGAGTTAAGTATGATCCAGTTGGATCCCTCAAAAACAAATCTCTTTTGTAGTCCAATAAAAACAGCTCTCTAAATGTCCAACCATCGTTGATGGGAAAAGAAGCAGCAAGCTTTCCCCCCTGCTCAATCGAAAAACTTTAACATCCACAACATGTAGGTTAACTGAAAACACCTGTGCCTCACCTTCATTTTTGATCCCCAAAACGTAACAATTCAAGAAAAGAGAGAATAAGATGTATTTTCTGACCATGATCACGGTTAAAGTGTCTAGATTATGTCCCAATTAAGTCTGCGGTACGTCTAGGCTACCACTAATGAATTCAGGTCTCGTTCCATTGCTTCCTTCTGCTGATCAGGTGCGTCATGATGGGCGTGGTTAAGGACAGGTCAGCATTTATGGACAACTCTTTAAGAAAACAAACATAATGCAATGGTGGAGTGACATGACAGCAAATATTTGTGAAATGATTTCCCAGACAAGTACAGGCCTATAACGTTGCGTTACTCTATGCTCTTACTTTAAGTAGCCTAGATTAACTGACGTTTTAACAATTCTTGCGTTAGGACAAACTGTCTCAAGACAGTGAGTTTTTGTTTTAACAACATTCCTCCGTTCATCAGCTTTAATACAAAGACAGAACAGTAGGTCTACAATAAAATCTAGCTTTGTTTCAATGGTTCCTGAGACTAAATATCTGCATAAGTAACTACAGCAAAAAAATAGTCTTTGCCATGACAACAGCCGTGGAGATATCGCGTTATTTCGGTAAGTGTTAGTCACGCTCTCGCGGAAGTGTTTTGGCGTTGAGCACCGGAGTTGTTGAAATATAGTAGTGTTCATTAACAGTAAAAAGTGACATTGTAAGTTTTAACATTGAGACCAACAAATGGTCTCATAGCTGATTCTACTAGAAAGGTCTCTACTAAACTCTACATAATTCGTGCTCACGTGACGCTAAACCAGGTTATTTTTCTGTTGTCAACAGAGCTAACTTGGTTAGCATGTAAGGTAGATAATAAGCTATGGTTGGCAGCCAGTTGTTTCTACATAGTCTGTAAGTCTATTGTTGGGTAACAACTAACTAACTTACGACGTAAGGCAAGCGGCTCAATATTATTACAATACAAAACGTAAATTCCTGCATCATTAGGTAATTTTGATAACGCTTATTAGTTTGGTAAAGCAACACATATAAATAACGTTATGTTCCTAACTAAAGCACTGGTATGTCTTTGTTGAAATAGATTGGTTCATGTATGGCTGCATATCATATTTTAAGATTTGCTCACGCATTGAAGAAAGGACAGGCCAAAAAACAAGTCTGGATAAAACCAAATAACACCTCATTCGTGGTGTCAGCTCAAGTAGTATTGTGAGTATACATTTTGGGCTTTATGTTTAAACTGCTGAGATTCATGTCTTATGTCTCAAAACAATATGAACTTGTGTTATGTGTTGCTTTCTTCTTTTGCAGAATGGCTGCGCTGACAGACTTTGAACCTTTAGCAAAGAGACTCAGGGTTGAATCCAGTGGCCAATCATCCCCTTCATCCTCTCTAAAAGGTAATTTGGTTGGATAACATTTTTCTGTATATGTCAATAAGTTATTGGTGTCACATGAGTATATCCGCCTTTGTAAAACAATTATTTTTATGTTCTTCAGTCCCATCTTCATGTATTCAGAGCAAAGACAATGAGACGGTAGATAAAGGGCAAAACAAGACACAGATGAAGATGGATATACGGTCAAAGACTGGAGCAGATGATTTGCGAGGTGTAAAGACGAAAGGTTACCATCAAAAGAGCTTCCCCAGACAGCAACAGAAGTTCAGAAATACTCTTGAACGATGGTTGGTTAAACCCTCAAAAAACACATGTACAGCTGAAGAGGATGCAGAAATGGCCAATCACAGTGGCTTTCAAAGCACCTCAGCTGAGTTTCTGGACTGTCAAAATGATGAAAAACCTACTCACTTCGACCCGGATGATGAAACCCAACCCTTGACAATGCAAGACCTGGATGAAGACAATCCTGAGTCACCAGCCTCCAAGGATTCTGCAGGGAGTGGGCTTATGCATACACCGCCCCACAATTATGGGGGATTAGAAAAACAAGAAATTAATACATGCTCAGCGAGCTCAGAGGACTCTGTCAAACACAATACCAAAATAACAGACTTCTTTTCAGGGACCTCACCACCAGGTTTACCTGTGAAGCGTGGCGTGGCAAACAAGTCTCCACAGAAACCAGATGCAGACAAGGAAACTGCCTCGGCTGTTATCAAGCCTGATGTCAAATGGCTGGGGACGCCAATCAGTGAGCTAAAGAGAATGCCTGAATGTGGAGGACCACTTCCTCCGCTGAAGGATGTTCCTGGCCAACACACTGTGATGATAAGGGTTTGAGCTGTTCTTTCTTTCTAAACTGTTCAAAACACTTTACTTCATAGAAACATACATTAATTTAATTGGTCAGTCCCAATGTGTTTATTGGTTTCTGCAACACATTTGTTGTATCTGAATCCAGCATTTTACCATCTTAAACTCAGATCCAAAATGAAACCTTGTGATCATGGAACCCAACCTTAATTATAATGTTGATTTATTTGAAGAATCAAAATGAGGAATGTCAGTGTAGGCATTCTATCACTGAGGACCTGCAGCTTGTTACATTGTAACACAATGTCCCTGAGTGTGCTTATCTCAGCAATAGTTTGTTCAGTTTTTCATGAGGGCTTTCAGAAATATGTGTTAGCATGCAAAGGAAAAGTCATGGTCTTTAATTTGATTATTCTTTGAGTTTATCATAGATCCATATTTTATTGTCAATATGTTTATTTGGTTTGCACACAGGCACGGCATGTACTAATGTAATTTGTTTTTATTCACTCCCTCTGACAGACAGACCTTCTTCAGAATGGCAAAGTCCCTGTTCCATATCCTGGTAGGTTTAAGGATACCTGGGATGATGTCCATGTCAAGATGCCCTGTTCCAGTAGCAACCTGTTTCCTATCGAAGATGAGGTAATGATCCAAGTGTTTATATACCTGTCATTTATAAAATTGTAGTCATGGATTATGTTATATAGATATGTAAATGACAGATTAAAGTATGTGCTGTACTGCTTTTAATTGCACAGATTGTACACCAGTGGTTCAATATTGGTAATTTAAACAATGCAGTCACATTATATGCTTGACTGAAGGCATCTTCATCATCTTGCTACCAATGAGGATGATATGATGAGCAATGTGATATTACATTTTATAAATGTTTATGGTGCTTATCGATCCACGCTAGGGTTGTAATTTTGCAGAGCAGCTATTCCCATTCGCTTTTCATGTTTCAAACCTGCATATGTGTGAATGAAACACAATGTACATCAATGATGAAGGACAATTCATAAGTTCATATTCATGAAATCACTGCAAAAAAACAGACTAAAAACAGACTAAATTTGTGCTTCCACAGGAAACACGAAAACGGCAGAATAAGAGTCGGTGGGAATTGATCAAGGAATCTTTAAACAAGAAATTTACAAGTCTGGATGAGTTGAAGGCAAGTTTCATATCTGTGTCCTTACAATACCTGATGTATTTCATGTTATAAAAGGAGAGGCACAGTTCCCTAAAGTTATTACCAGATTTTGCCATTAGATGGCGTCATGAGCCCAGGCACACAGTCTCTTACCATTTTGATATTTTGACAACATGTTGTTGTTTCAATATAGGTGTAGTATTTTTTACTTAAAATGACACTTTAGATTGCTTCTGAATTGTAATAATTGAATTTATCTGTTACAGAATGCAATATTGAAATACAATGCTTCACAAGCCAAGAAATGGGACTTCACTGCATTACGTTTGTACTGCGTTAAGGTAAACAATATAAATATATGTTTTTATGAATATAACTGAACCAAAAAGTAGACTGGAGGAGGCATTTGGAAGAGTCATTTTAATAATACTGGCATGCAGAAATGTAAACACAGATGGGCACATGTTGAAGATGTTAAAGGGTTAGCTGGCACTTCATCATGGCACTTGATTGCCCAACAGAACGCATCATAAACCAGTGTTGGTGCTTCTCACAGAGCTTGGGTCAAATAAAGTACAGATGGCTCATTAGCTAGTGATGATCAGTAATACGGATGTTGAATTTGACGACTATATTAGATGAGGCTTGGTATGAACAGTATTTAAGTGGCTCTGTGAATCAATATCAATAGATAGGGTCTCATCCCTTTTGTGAAAAGATTTGTATTGTTACAAGGCTTTCTCAAGCATTATGTGTCTGTGTGTGTGCTTACACCTCCATATTTTGCAGCATTACATAAATAAAGATTTGCTCACAGTTAATAGAATGTGATTAATTTGTACGCATTTTGTCCTCCTTGTGCTGTCTGGACACTTGGCTGTTTCCCGTTCTGAGGCTAAGGTTGTATTTTAAAGGTGTTATTTATGTGGTCTTATTATATATTTATTAAATTTTTTAGTCTTTTTCTTTACAGGACAAGGGTATAATAGGCCTGAGATGCATCATGACGGCCAGAGCTCTTTGGTTCATTGGTTTTCTTCTCCAGCCGCATTTGGAGGCCATCTATCATCTGCTATCTTGATGCGCTCTGCGTCATCCTGTGTAGAAACTCAGGGAGGGCTGTACTACTGTCTGAATGTGAATATACCATTTGGAGAGATGGGCCGTGTTGTGACATAAGTGTTTGATATTAGGAATCCCAAGTCTCTGAGAGTAGACACATAATAGGCTTTATTTTCCATACTGTAAGGGAACACTCATCCACTCCTAGAATATAATTCTAATAATAATAATGATATCTCACATCTCATGAAAAAAAAAAGTACATGCAATGCTTTTTTCTTGAATGCCAGTATAAATATGTCATTTTGCACAAGAACAGTAATGGTTTTTACACAGAAGAATGTTGCAGCCCTTCAAAGGCAAAGTGGGAGTCTAGAGAAATAATGTAATCTGTTGCCAAAAGGTCACGTTTAGTAACTTGTCAAAAATGGAAATGGCTGACATTACATCTCAGAGAATGCTTTACTCCAGCCTCATGCTGTTGAAGTAATTGTGTGCTGCTGTATGTCATAAATCATTTTAAAATGGGAATTTTCTTAGATAAAATCTGAACATGTTGAGAGGCTTTAGCCATAGGCCAAGTTTTGTTGTTGTAGCTAGATGTAGCAAAATTACATTTTTGTCAGAATTCAAAATGTCCAGTGGCATCAAATATATTGAAATAGAATTTGATTTGAAGTGAGTTGCCACATAAATTGTAGCTATAACGACATCAAACAGTTGATTGCTCACTTGTTCACTCACTTGTAGTTGATTGAAGTGAAGATGGTATGTTGGTTTCATTAATAATTGTTTGTTCAGTAAACACTGTAAAGCAACAGTATATACCGTATGTCATCGTAGCTCGCACAAAATACATTTACATTATTTATGCTCTATATTATTGCAAAGTTGACACACATAGTTGCTCTAAAAGAAGACTGTGGGTTGCTTCTGCCCCTTACACAATTTATTCACAGCTTAAATGAGTAATAAATCTGTGTAATAATAGTGTAATATGCTGAAGGTCTGGAAGCAATTAAGCTATGTATAGTTTCATTAATGTATTGACATACAGCAGCTCAGATAGCCCACAGAATCTAGTGTTGTTTAAGTTTACACAAATTTCCACTTTTCATTTTAAAAACCAATCACAGAGGATTCTGCACGTTTGAATTATTTCCAGTGCAGCACACAAATAGAGCAATGTAATGTACGACATTTTTCACTTTTTCCCTGCAGATTGGAGACACTGTAGCAGGATGATTTTGAGTGTCAAAGAAAAGTGGACATAGAGTGACGGGTCAGGCGCCTTCATTGAATATTCATTTCAGCGCGCAAACCTTATGAATAACTGAAAAGGCTGTTGACAGACAGCACTGGTTTGTTCATTTCTCTCTCTTTCCCCAGCCCAACCAGTGTTGTATTTACAGTTATGAGCGTGCAAGTGTTTTATTTTTACATGGTCTCGTGTCCGCAGACACAATCAAGCAATTTTAGCAGCTTTATTGTTCGAACCTGTGGGGAATCGGAACGGGACTGTGAGGCGTCGCTTTAAATCTGTATGGGAGCTCTGGTTTCTCACTGCTCACACCCCTGCATCTTGCATAATTGCTTTGTCGGTTTGGTGTGATGTACAGACCTGTATCATGTCATACAGAATTTAAGCTCAGTTGATTTGATGCACTGTCTTGTGATGATTTAAAGAGCTCGGCTTATACTAGCTCAGCTATATCCACCGTCTCGCCCTGTCAACTGCCTTCATTTATTACACCCCTAGGAGCAGTTTATGATGTCAACCAGGTCATTACTTATGACAGTGTTTAGTCAGGCTTCCTTTGCCATAATATAAATGTCCTAGGCTAAATCACCAGTCAAGGCTCCTTGTTCTGGGAACACACTGTCCTTTCTATTTCAAATGCTTGGTCATTTGCATCTCTTCCAGGAAGACTGTTTAATCAGCTGGCATGGCCGTGCAACCTTGATGAAATTGCTCTGTGATTGATCATTCTGACATTTTGTAGCCAATATGGGTGTAAATACGAGTAGTATATATTGCCTAAGATACGTTAGTGCACTTAGGCTGTGTTGTGAAGTCACGGATGGTCGGTATGTTACTAACTGTCCAGCTAAAGCAAGATTTTAATCGAATGAAGCCATATTTTTCACAATTGCTGTTAAATGTCCAATATGAGGCAATAGTCATCTATACAGGTTTTCATTTTTCACTAGCTGCTTTACATCTGCATGCACAATATAGTAGGTAGTGGACTTTTACAAAAGTTTAAAAGAAGGTATTGCCCTTTGATGTTCTGTATAGCTAACATTTGATATTTCTTTCTCTGTAAAATTGAACATAAAAGCGCAACATTTTGATATGAATCAGAGCTGTTAATTTGATCTGTCCGTCTCAAACTAATCAGCCCAAACAGCTAATAATGTCACAGCTGGGTTTTGTGGCAAAACAACAAACATAAACAGATCTCTTGCTCTCTCCAAGGTTCTGGAGCCTGATGCGGCTGAACATCTGTTTGGCTCCCTGCTGCCAGACATGGTGCAATTAGCACTGAGAGCATCTGAGCTCTGTACCAAGGTAAGAGCCATCACTAACCAATACACACTGGCTCAGTGGTCTGTGACATAGTAGATCACCGCAGCAGGTTGATCCCAAAGGTCATGACATGACAAATGATCTTGTGAAATAGTTGTAGAAATGGTGAGGTCAAGGCATGTAGCTATTGATTGTCATTTGTCCAATGTTTTATAATGTTTTTGGTCATCTGGTTGTTAGGTGTGTGAAGTGCAACGTGTGTTTGCAGCTGGAAAAGTCTCATTAAAAAGAGTTTTGTGTATTTTGTTTGGCCAATCATCTAATTTTAGTTTGACATCTGTGTGTTAAACATATTTCTAGTTTGATTAACTTAACACTGAACTGACGCGCACACATACTAACATCACCAAATATTGTTTTAGGACAAACCTGTTTGTTTGGTGATATTTGTATGTGTGTGCGTCACTTTCAGTGTTAAGTTGTGCGTGGCAATCTGTGTTGTAGGCCATCAAAATTAAACACACACAATCTGCACATGAATAGCATAGAAGGTTGTGTCACCTGTTACAGTGTAACTGTTCATTTCTGTCCCCCATAATCATTTTTGCAATTAGTTATTGGATAATTGTTTAATATTTATATAACAATTGAGTAGCTAGTCTAAAATGTATCTACAATTCGATTGATGCTGTTGAAAACAATGGTCTGCATTTGAGGTGGAGAGATTAATACTAAACTGCATGGGCTTTTACATTGCTGATCTACTGCAATATAAGAACCACTTAAACAGCTTGTGCATTGAATTGAATGTGTTAAATACTTAAAATCAACTATTGTTGCTGTGTTGTTTATAAATTGGTAATTTACATTTCAATTTCAATTTTCAATTCAATTTATTTATAGTGCCAGTTCATAACAAAAGTTATCTCATTGCACTTTTCATAGTAGTCCTTGGAACATTTTGGCCATGACTCCTGTTGATCTATAGTGTTAATGCAACAAGCTCTCCCCATTACAGAATTGCTTACACGGATGCACTGTTAATTTATAAACCCACAGCCTTTATTAGGAGTCTGTATCTCTTGTGAGCAAAGATGGATGTTGATTGTAATTATGATGGCTGATTGAAGAAGCACTGAGTGGTGCCAAATTAGTACATACTTCAATGTCTTGTTTGGTAAATTCACAAAACAAATTATTTTGACCTTCCTCAGTTGTACCTCTGCTCCTCCTCTAGCCGATACCCCTACTCAAGAGAGGCATGAACCACTCCATCACCATGTCTCAGGAGCAGGTGGCATGTCTGCTCGCCAACGCCTTCTTTTGCACCTTCCCTCGACGCAACTCCAGAAGTTCTGAGTACTGCAACTACCCTGACATAAACTTCTTCAGGTAATGTAGGGATGTGGTAGTTTCATACATGATGGTTAAAGTTACACAGTCGGCTTGTAAATGATTCTGCCGTGACAACTAACTTAATTTCCATGAGGGGGCACTACTGTATGTGCTTTCTTCACTAATCATTATATCTTGTGGCTGGGTGTTAAAGCAAGTAACATTCACATTATATGTACATTTAATTACACAAAGAGCAAACACTGTTTTATAATGATAGTATAATGATCAGAGACAGTGAACAGCTTGACTTATTTACACACTGATCTGAAAGATTTTTCAAAAATAGACAGCACATTAGTCACTGTTCATTTGAGCATTTTTAAGAGCCACTGAGCTTTATCTTTCTGTAACCACATTTTAAAGCACAGGGCAGATGTTTCCTTTAGCCTGCTCTGCTTACCAGAGCTATGCAATACAAATCTATTTGATGGTCATTCTGTCCTTCTCTGGTACTTGTCAGTTTTACCAGAAGAATGACTACAAATATGACAAAGAAGAGGGGAGCAGGGTCTTTTTTAATCCCTGCAACCTTGCACTGTGGAGATCGTCTGGGTGGTGTAATGCAAAATCAGTCTGCAGATCACTGCTTAGTCATGTCTCTCATCTCTGTTGGCATCGCAGTGTAATTACCTAAATGGAAGAGGGAATTAAATTAACATTGACTCAGATAGCTGCTTTTCACAATGAAGAAGGCCATTGGCTGTTTCAATGGCATCAGTATTTCATTCACATAAAGGTTTGTCTGTGATTTTTGAAAGGAAAGTCTCGTTTAGCCTGCTACTAAAAATTGTCCTGAATCACCAATTTGGTGCGAGCCAGATATTGAATGCTTTGAAATGTGTGTGTGTGTGTGTGTGTGTGTTTGCAGTTTTTTTTATCTGTAACTTTTGGTCTGTGGGATTTATTTATATATAATTTCTCATGACAGGTAGAGGAAATATAAACAAAGCTTTTTATCTGCTGATGTTCTCTTATCTCGATGCAGACTTATTTACATTGCGATAAAAGAGACTATTTTTTGAGGAGCTTGATTGAACATCGGCTCTGTCATTCAAAGTGTTCTTCAGCAAACTTTAATATTTTATTTTTAGTGCATTTAGCTCAAACAGACTTGTTTTTTTGAGAAATGTTTTCTTGTGCTGATGATGATGAAACCCAGCTGTTACACATATTGTAGTCACTTAAACCCCTTTTCTGAGTTACATCATATCTTTCTGCACATCTGTAGGGGGTGTATTGATGTTATATTCACCAAAGACCATATTGCGATTTGTTACTAAAAGCCTACTCTCACTAGTGGCTAGCTTATGTCAAAGATGTTTGCCCTGAGGACTACATGGAGCACGATTGTTTCTAGGGACCACACTGACAAAAATATAAATGAATTCAGGAGTTGACTTCGATGAATGAGTTTCCCTGCCCTTGAAGGGCTCTCAGTGCATCAAGCCTTTGTCGTTATTTCATTTCACTCACATGAAATGTCTTTCTCTTTATGATAGCATGTGAAGCAGGCTGCTTGGTTCTTTATGGAGTTTGCTTGAGAGGGAGATAATGGGCTTAGTGTTGAAAGTGCATTCAAACCCGCCCGCTGCACCTCTACTACCAGCTGCTTTGTGTGTGTTCGTTTGTGTGTTATTTTTCAGGGGGATTGACCTTTTGCCTCCTGAGGACTCTGTTGCTTAAAAGGGACACAGGGCTTCTTAATGTATCCCCAAGGATGGAGCCCTGTTTCTCCTCTCTGTTCTTTTTTTTTTTTTTATATATTTGTGTGAGTGCTGTGAAGTGGCACATGAGTGTGACTCTGTGATGGCAAGCCTGAGGGCAGCTCCATTGTCGTAACAACGAAAGAACTCCTACATAATCGGCTAGTGACTGAATGGGAAGCTGAGTGAGAGATGAACTAATTCATATCAAAAGTTAAAGCATGACTGAACTCACATGGCCAAAGTGGAGGTCGTGTCTCTATGGCACTGATTATACAGAGAGTCATTTTTCCTGGTCTTAGCTTGTCTAATAATTTGCAAACTGAACTCATAGAGTTGGTAGTGATACCATGTCTAACTCGCTTGCTTCATAGAAGAGGAACATAATAAAGTCTAATATCAACTGGAACTGAATGAAATTCATTATCTCTTCTTTCCCCCAGGCTGTTTGAGGGGTCTTCATCAAAGAAGATTGAGAAGCTGAAAACTCTGATGTGCTATTTCAAAAGTTTCACTGAGGAAAGTAGGTGTTTAGATTTCATTTTTTTAATTTTGCATTGCACTGCAATACATTGTAATTGATTGATGTTAAGACAATATTACAATATTGGCATTCACAGCTAGAGCTTTCTACAGCACAAATACATTATGCTAAAACACAGAATATGATATGCTGGTCCAAATTACTAGAAAAGATAAAGAAACTATATTGCACTATATTCGGCATTGGTTCGCCCTATGTCACCTCTACGACTGTGATGGTGCTTCCCCTTTCTTTATACAAACAACAAATAATTGATCACAAAAAATACTACATTTCTTGCTTCATTCTTTGCTTTTCAGAGCCTACAGGACTTGTAACATTCACACGAAAAAGCTTGGATGAACCTCTAAATTGGAAAAGGTGGAGTAAAAAAAAATAGTAGTAGTAAAATAGTAGTATGTCAATTGTTTCTCTCAAAAAACCCTGCACTCTGCAAAATTCAGTAGACCCTTTGGAAGCGATCAAAGAGCCATTGTGTCATCTGTAGTTGATAAGTGGAAAACAATTCATTCCTTGTGTTTCAGCTCAGAGACTCTGCTCACAAAGCTCCACATTACTTCTGAAGGGACCATTGAGGATGATGGTTATGGAATGCTTCAGGTAAGATGCAGAGGAGGAGAAGTATATCAGTAGTGTTCACTTGTGGAAAGAAAACATGATAGTGTGATTTACCTAGCAGATACACCTAGTGTGATTGACTTTACCTAGCAGGATCCTGTTATTTTGCTTGAAGGAGCTATTAGTTTGAGACATACTCCTCCTTGTGCTTGGTTCCCATCCTCTTTGTCCCTTTGTTGTAGTCAATCACTGAGCCACCGCATTCTGGAGTCTTTCACCCAGAATGCTTACTACTGCTGAAAAGGCCTTTGAGGGAGCCCTGTGACACGTCGCGGGGAGTGTGTGCTGGGACTGGGGTCGAGGCCTCTGAGCCTTCTCTGCTCTCTGTCTTGGCCGTGCTTCCTGTACACTGTCAGGATGGCCCGCTCTGCCTTTCACCTTTTGTTTGCCTCCAGTTGCCACAAGCTGACAGTTGATGTGCACACATGACCAGCTCCGGGGCACGCTGCGGGCTGGATTGATGGATGCTCTGCTGGGGTGGGGGTGGGGGTGGTGCTGACAGCCTGTCAAAGCAGAGTTTGGAGGCTGGCTCGCTGTCCCAGAGTTGAGTGACCAGTTTGGGGAGATCTGCTCTCAGACTGCTGCTTGCCCTCTTGCTGCTTCTTCCTGGTGTTGTGACGGGGTTGGACTGGGCTGTCTAAAGGCCAATGAGCAACAACTGTCAGTCCTGAAATTGGATTATATGTTCCGCATGGCGGCTTTCTGACTAAAACAATGACGCCTGTGTCTGAGCTGAAATGATGAGATATGTTTTTTGTTTTTTTTTAAATCATAAACAGGCCGCAATCAACAAGTAAATCAGTGTCACCCATAGATCTGCCCTCAAATCTGAAAGAACACAAGCAGCAAAAGATTTCACAGGCATCAGTCAGCAGTAAATTTAACAGTGTGTTGTGACTGGAGGGAGATGTTTACTTTGGACTGTTGGATTGTTCTCTTGTTTTGATATTTGCTGTTGGCAGCAGCACACTTAAGTGCAGCTTCTCTGGAGAGCTCATTTTGGCATGGGGGACAGATGTCTGAGTAATGCCAGCACCTAAGGCCACTTCCCCAGTCAACTTGTCAGGAATTCTGTCACAAATAAAAGAAAAAGAGCTGGGAACCTTTCATGAGGTTTTTTACTCACCTTCTGTCCAATTTTGGGATATATATTTCACAGTCAAAGAAAATGAGGATGCTAAAGAAAAAACATGTGCGTAAAAAAGTCTGTAAATTTCACAGGGGATAGATGTTCCGTAGTGTTTTCTTCATCAATGATCTGTCTTAATTTGCAGGTTGATTTTGCCAATCAGTTTGTGGGAGGAGGAGTAACCAACGCTGGTCTAGTTCAAGAGGAAATTCGTTTTCTGATCAACCCCGAGCTCATTGTTTCTCGCCTCTTCACTGAAGCCCTGGGTCATAATGAATGTCTGATTATCACAGGTCAGTGATCAAAAACTCTCCCACATGTTGTTTAACAATAATTTTTTACTGAAGGAATCCAACTATTCAATTATTAATGATTTAGCCCGTTGATCCAGATCAGATCAGTAATGCTCCGGCTTCACATTTCTCATACTTGACCTATAATTTGACAGAAGAAACATAATGGGTGTTTCGAATCACACACAGCATGGAGTACAGATTGCACACTAGGGCAGTTTATTATTTATTCGATTAGTCGACTAGTCACAATTATTTTTGTCACCCCCTAACCCTACCTCTAACCCTAATTAAACCATTTAACTAATTAAATATCTTTTAAGTGAATTACTGATGTCCAACACACAGCCTAACTAGCTCACGTTACCATTAAGTGAATGAGGTTTTCTATTCAGAATGAACACTAGTATCAACACCAGGGGAAAAATAGGGAAGAAGACCAGACAGCGTAGGATACTCCTGTAATTCACCCAAAACAAAAAGCACATTAAAAGTAACTACTATAACCACAACTGTACACTAACAATGTATTGTTTATTTAGAATAATAAAGCAACAGTCCCCTTTCATAATCCTTTTGTAGTTTATTTTTCCAAAGTGCTTATAAGTTTTAAAAGTGGAGAATGTTCTGTAGGCTACATCACGAGCCAGATGTTCCTTGATTTACTTTAAACCGTTACTTAGATTGTAATGACAGAATAACAGTGGTACGAACATTTAAACTATTTTAAAGTTGTGGCCTTTCCTCTGTTACTGTGTTGTTGCTGCTGCAGTGGTCTGTGTAACTGGGACCAGAGGGCACATTTTCGATTCCCCATCAACTTTCGTAAAACTGCCAATATTCAAGTTCTACACAGTTGATTTCCCGCCTCAAAACCTCTCAAAAGTGTATTTAGTGATGAAATAGCGTACAAAACTTGTGAAAACAAAAACCCCTCTGCTGTTAGCCTCTTTCTCCGCTGCTTTCTGCTTCTCGCATGAAGTCATGGCAGACAGTGGAAGCGATACTGCCCCTGGCCCTTCCTGTAGTGCATTGCAGTTACAAATGAACAACCAGAAATGTTCTTAATGAGAAGATTGCTATCTCTCCCTTAAACAGCATCTTTGTAACGACGTGCCGACAATGAAATTTCACATTGACAAATTTTTTTAATCGATGTTGTCGATCACGTCGACAAATCCTTGCAGCCCTATTGCACACCTTCAATTTACCCCGTCCTGGCTCAGCAAGAGGCTAAAGGATGTTTGTGGCAATTGCCCTGTTTTCTCCATCTGTCCTTGTCACATGTTTCCTTTTGATTGGCTGCAAAGGGGAGAGTCTCATCAGTCGGCAGTTGGAAATTGGGCTGTCCTGATTGCTCTGTTGGGTCTTTCTGTTGAGTAATTCCCGCTGACTTCAGTATTGAGTGTTTGCAACAAACAGGCTTGGGACAGGTAGAACCCAGTAACAAGAGCTAGACTGAAGGAGTCTCAGCAGGAGGCTGATGGCTCCTGTCTGTTTTTTTTTTCTTCTTTTTTTTTCTGTCTGACTCTGTTGTGGCTACTTGATTGCATTTGATGAAGAAGTTAGAAAACACAAGTTTTGTAATATAGTCATAACTGAAGGACACCTGCACAAGTCCAGTTATCATTCTGCAGCAATAAAAATCATTTAAATCAGCCATATGTGGATTTTATATCCGGGTTAGTAAAAATGCAAGACTACTTCTATTTAAATGTATGTAGGGAGTCATTTATAAGTTCGCCATATCTGAATGCATGTTATACTTGACATTAATTAAATAGATGTGTGCAAGAGTAAATGATGAGCTAGAGTCCAAGTCAAGTCTCAAGTCTCTTGTGGTTATAATGAATGTTGTATCACCTGCTGCATTCAGTCCAGGCTGTTTATAATACTGCATAGCTATGAGGAATTCTGTAACTGTAACCTGTTTTTCACTTCCAGAGCACGCCCATGTAATATGCAATGCAATTAATGACAGCTTATTAACTTCTGTAAGTCAGCACTTCCCGCAGACTCTCAAACCCAGCGTAACGTTACCTAAATAAAACTGCTTTTCACAGAGCACAACCATGTAGCCTAATAATCAATGACTCTACAACTAATAAACTATTTATTATAAACTACTTATAAGCTTATAAACTACTGTAAGTCAACAACCCCCCAGACTCTCAAACTAGTGTAACTTTATAACTAAATAAAACTGTAACTTTACATGATCAACAATAAACATGTAACCTGTTTGCAGCCACCGTTAATAATTGACGTGATGGCAGCCACTGGGACATAAATGATTACGTTAATTGACCACCACAACTTTGGCAAGTAAACAAACATTCTCATTCATCTTTTCATAACATAGTCAGAGTTAACCTTAGATGGCCAATGCTGAGCTAAACATGTTTACTAACCTCAGGTTACTAACCTATTTTGCGTCCAGCGCTTGTTGTTGGAAGTTTTAAAGCCAATGTTTATGATGAATAGCACAGAAGCTGCCAGTGTTGTCCTCTCACGTAAGGCCGCACGGATCAGATACATAGTATGTGTTACGTAAGACATTTCCTAAAAATAAACTCAAAGTCAAGTCCCCATCTCTGCCATAAATAAACTGCCTTCACATTGGGTAACATGTGGGTTGGATTAGAACAGGAAGTGAGGCAACAGAGCCTCCACCCTCCTGATCAGCAATCATACCACTGCATCAGGTCTTCTCGCTTTGGCGGTCACCTTCAGACTTCTTGCTGGCCATCTATCCCTAGCCTCCACTTACGCCACTTAACTTTATTACTGGGCCCCCAGAATTAATTATAGCTGGAAGACCTGCCCGAGACCCGCTCTGCTAATGGACTCTTCCATTCCATCATCTTTATTAAACCCTACCCACATCTCTTGTCTCCCCCTATTGTAAAAGTCCAAGCCTTAGCTGCGTCGTGGCCATGTGGTAGATCACATTCCCCTGCAATACGTTTTGGCATACAGCGGGGAAGCTAATGGATGTACCGTAGCACTGAAATTTACAAAAGTGCCCTGGCCTAATTGAATTTTCCTTGATTGCTAGATATCTGGCTGCCATTGGGCGGTCAAAAGTATAAATAGTATCAAGGAGAATTCATATTATTCATTGATTGCAGTACTGACCAGAAAATGCGATACAAGCTTAATGCAAGCAGGAGATATAGGGACATTTTCCTGACACACACAATCTTGCTTTGTCTTATTTATTTCTCAGTGTGAATGGTGGTTTAACATGCTTGAAAACATCCTTCGGTGAAACCAGTGGTGGCTGTATTGATTCTTCTTGTTTTTTTTGTTTTTTTTTGAAAAATTCTTTTTGACAATATTTAATGTTTTTCATATTTTAGACAACTAAGATTTTTTTTTTTAGGTGTGAAACAGTTTTATCCTCGTTTGTTCTCATGCAGATGTCCTTCAGAAGCCTGCTCGTGCCTTGACATGACAATGAGATGCGCTTCTGACCTTTTACAGTCTCTGGTCCACCGCAAATAAGAGACACTTCGTTTTTTTATGAATTTACACATGAATGGAACAACCTTCAAGAACATTGTGAATTATACCTGCTGATTTTTATGCAACCTATTTGGTTGTTTAGAAAACATTTCTAAAAACCATGACACACATTTCCCTGCCCAAGATTGATCTGCTTCCCACTAGAATTTTTGAATGACAAATGGGTTGCATAAACAATCTAAATCATAAGTCAGATTGTTTGTGAAGGTTGTTCCTTTCAAATGCAAATATGGATGATCATAGAGTTTTATAGTTTTGGAAGACCAGTAAAGGTCAGTTGTATGCATAGTTAGGCGGAGCGTTAAACTTCATCAGCTATGCAAACATCTGTCTGTGGTATTTCATAGTGAACTAACGCCCGCTAGAATATTTAAAAAATATTTAAGTAACGTGATGTTTCTTCACACATCATTCATATTGCATCCATAAAATGTTAGCCAACCTACTTTATGTTGTATTTGTTGTACATAAGGATTGGCACACTCTGGTACTGAACAGCACAAACAAACAAGAGATTCTGTTATCCTCTGAGTAAAGATATTTCGTTGTGCCGTTGTCTGCCATTTGTAATAGACTATACTTACTTATCTAACATGCAAGGTGCTAACTGTGCATCAGAATGGAACTAACATATTTACACTCACTTGCACACATTGGGAGCAGTTTGGGGTTACCTAACTTCTGAATAGTGGATGACCCGCGTGACCTCCTGAGCTACAGCCAGCCGCTTTGTGCCAGTTTACTGTCTTACGAACCAGCAAAGTATACAGTCTTGAGATATCAAGGCTGTATAGTCGGTAATCTTGATACAGATGTTGTAAATTGTAAATATGTGTTGCTGTGGTTGTAAAGAGGTCATATTATGCTTTTTGGCCTTGTCCCTTGCTTTTATTGAGTTATATCTATTTTTTGTGCATGTAATAGGTTTACAAAGTGAAAATGGCCAAAGTCCACCCCAAAGGGAGTTCCCATCTGTCACAGAAAACACTGCACTGGACTGCCTGAAAACAGCTCGTTTATAGTCCAGCCTTTTCTTCCGCTTTCTTGTGAAGTCACAAGAAAACACGCGTCATAATGCTCGCCTAGCGGCTAGTCAGGTACACCCTCAAAAACACCAGTGGAAAAACACACTGAGCTGCAGCACACAGTGACAAGATGTCCGCCTGCTGCCTCTCCTCTTCCTTCCAAACATTAGCTACCCTCCAGGCAGTCAATGGACATAAACTTGTTACTGTGACATAGAGACAGAGCTCAGTTAAAACTTTATGGATGAAAGACACATTTGTTACAAATTAATAACTCGCCACTCAAAATTCTTGCTCCACTCAGTGTTGCTAAGCTTGTAAGGGGAACAAGTACAGCTGAACCAAAGCCGTGTTTACCGGCTTTTCAGGACCCGCCCTTCTCTGCTTCTGATCGCCTAGTACTCCTTAACTAGGTACTGCACAAGTGAGATGCATCATTCCATAGCTAAAATGGAGCGTTCAACACACAGGGTGAAAAGAGGTGCTGCAGCAATGTTCAGTGTGACAAAAAATATGGTGTTTTTTTTTTTTTTTTATGAAACCATGGAAACCTATTCTGGTACAACCACTAAATAAAAATGATGAACCTGAAAATGAGCATAATATGGCCACTTTAAGCGACTGGAAGATCAACTTCACTGTGCCATTATAATGTCCTGGAAAAACACCTGGCCAATTTTCGACACCATAACTCAGGAACAGAAGGGGAGATTGTGACCATATTTCACAGTTGGTCGGACATTGAATAGGTGACACCTCTGACTTGAAGGGCTTTGTGACCTCAAATAATTTTTTAGCCATAATTTAAGAATGCATTAGTTCATTTCAGCTTCCACACACATAGATGGCAGAGGCATACACCCTCGGGGTGGTAATTCTAGTTACTTAAAAGAAAGTGAGAAGCAGGCTGATTATTAGTGTCTGTCAAGTGGACTGCGCTCTAGAGATTCCCTCCCCCCATGTGCACCTCGTAATACCTGCTGAAGCATCTCAGTGAGTGCTCTTGACGACCAAGTATTAATGAGCGCTAATGAATGGGAAGTTAATATGTGGCCTCATTTGTGTGACTGTGCTGTTGCCTCCCCACCCTCCACTCCCCCTTTATGGGTGGTGAGTGTTCCCCTGTGGGCTGGCGGTCAGTCGCTGCATCTCACATTGTGTCAAGGGGGATAATAAGTTGACCTTCCTCTTGTCTGGAGACAGCTGCTCCTGTTTCATCTGATCACATCAGGCAGTATGAATACAGACTAGGGCTGGACAATAAAACAATAATTATCGCGATATAATTTTCTTTCAATAACGATATAAATATTCAATAAATGTTTTATAAGTGTTTATTCACTTGAATCATACGCAAATTATGACTTCATTTTTTTTATTAAGATGTTTATTTTGTTGAGGAAGAAGGACTGAAAAAAGCTTTTACTTAATTTTACTCAAAGATTTTATCATAATTGTTTTGAATGTTCTGCCTCAGATTTGTGAAGTGATCCACTGTTTGGCATCAAGTGTTGACCATAAAGAATAGTTTAAACCACAATTAACCATCAGGTTTCTTCAACTCTCACTCAGGGGCAAAAATCAGCCTTTAAACTCGAAAGAAATAACACTTTGATACTTATCGTGAAAATTATCGATTTGTTATTTGATTGTTTGTATAAATAAATATTTGAATATCTTTTAGATGGTTCTTCAGGAGCATGTTGTTGGTTTTACCATATGGTAATCTTTTTAGCATAATTTATCCACCACTTATAGTATATCAACAGCATTCATATAAGAGTTTATAAATCTCTGTTTAATACAACTAGCTACATGAAAATTATTACACATATATTTAAATCTTTTGTTATTTCCCTGAAACCATTTTTTCATTTATCATCATTGGAGGCTAAACTGAATTATATGTGTCTTCTTGACACAGGGTAATCTTACATGCCTTTCAGCATTGCCACCTAAATACAACTGGTATTTTAAAGTTTTTTTTTTTAAATTCTAACCATGTTTAAAATTCAGGATGTAATGTTAATGCTTTTCAGTGGTGTGTGACTAATGTCCCTGTTTGTTTTTATAGGTACACAGCAGTACAGTAAATACATAGGCTATGCTCAGACCTACCAATGGGGTGGCAGCCATCAGGACACAACTCCAAGGTATTTATTGAACCTAGATGCTTTAAAGACCTTAAAATGCTTAAATAATAACTAAATGCATGTTTAGTAACACCACGCCTACACCTTTGTTACAACCGTGCTAGCTCATGGGAGGGCAGTTTCGGTTGATCCAAACTCAATTATGTCAAAAACAATTGGATGCATTTCTGACCTTTCATCTAGCACCATTATTATCATGTACCAGAAAAAAACAGTGACAGAGCATGCTTTCGGTCAGCAACTTCCAATTTCCAACATGGATGTACCTACGAGTAATTATTGCCCCATTTGACTAAAGCCCAGTTGTTGTTTTTTTTGTACATAAAACGGTGCAAAAGCGTTTCTTTGGTTTGTTTCAGGGATGGCTGGCAGAGAAAGTGCACAGAGATTGTGGCCATTGACGCGCTGCAGTTCAAGAACTTTTTTGAACAGTTTCGCCCAGAGAAAATCAACCGAGAACTCAATAAGGTTATCTTATATTTTTCTTTTAATCTGTATTTCCTTTTCATGTCACAAAATGAAGAGAATTGGGTTGTGCCTTTTGGTCGTGTCCTTGGCAGTGGTTTAGATTAGACTGTGGATTAGATGAAAACACCTGAGAACAAAAAAAGATGTAATAATAACTGAATGGTGAGTGTGGGGGCAATCTACCACTGCTCTTTGATTTTACTTTGTGATCTTCTATAGTCATGTCTCTTTAACAGTGTATAGCTGCAGTAATGTTTATTTGCCATTTTACTTCATGTTTGGTTTGTACATATTTAACGATTTTAGTGTCGGTCCATTTGGTTGATAATCAGAGCTGTTCCCAACTTTCAAGGTAAATATTGAATAGAATTATAGATATGTGTCTGTATGTAATACAGACAGATAGACTGTCATATTTGTAGAGAATGAGCTTAATCTTACTCATTACACGATCCAGAATGAATTTTAATGAACATAATAGACCTCATGGCGATTAATCACAATTATTAAATTTACATCAAAGATTTCTTAAAATGAGAATCCTTGCATGTCTGCAATCTTTGTAGCCAGAGATGTCCATTCATAATACAAAATCAAGATGTTGATGCTGTCAAGTCTGCTGTCAGAAAGCATGAAGGGTTTTTGACAGCTCTGACAAGGGTGTGAAGAATGCACCAACATGAAGATCAATCCTGTTTCGAATATTGTTCAACTGTCATATCTGCCCTTTCACAGGAAAAATCTATGACTGGTCAGGGGGAGGATGGGCACTCACAATTCATTTTCTCTATTCACTTCATTTCCCATGGGAAAATGAATGTCCAGGGCCCCATCAGATCTTTGATTAAACATCTCCTGCTCCTCCTAATTAAAAATTATTTCCTTTGCGACATACAAGCCAGCTGACATGTTGCCATGAACGTGGGTTTAGCACATAATGTGCAATTAATATGTAAGATAGTATGAAAATGTTTTGTAGGCCTGGTTCTTATAAAAACATACCAGTGATCTGCAACAATAGGGTAATCCCAACACTTGAGGCTCATCAGAGCTGATTCCGCCATTATGTACCAAATGACATATCATTCCCCACTTACATGAATGGCCCGGCCTCATGTGGCTGACCATTTGATGTAATGTCATCAAAAGTGATTAATTCACAATTTTGATGACGGAAGGGCTTTTCTTACAGTAAGGCAATGGCGGTATCTGAAATCACTCCCTTTTTGCTACCAAGTGCATTATATTTATTTTTCGCCAGTGTCCAAGTTCTAAATGTAATAAATAATGTAATTTAAGCTCTCAATAATTCACACAACTGAACAAAGATGTATTGTTCACAGCATGTATACTACTTTGTGCAAAAATCCCATAATGATGATTCATAGTTAGTTCATATTCATAGTCAAATTACTGCTTTCTTTAGACTAACTCGACTAGTGTAGAGAATAGTGAATGATTTAAGACACAGCAAATGTTTTACAGTGTGCTTATCTCTGTGTGTCATACTGCTTACTCTTCATTTAGGCCTACTGTGGCTTTGCTCGTTCTGAGGATCAACGGCAAAATCTTGCGGCGGTGGCCACGGGGAATTGGGGATGCGGTGTTTTTGGGGGTGACGCACGTCTGAAAGGTAAGTACTGACATAGGGCTTCCGTCAGTAGAGCTTGTGGGGGAAAAAAAGTGCTCCGACCATCTTCGTGCACTTACCAGTCTAAGCGGGCTCTCTTTCCTGGATATAACGGAATAAATTTCAGATTGAAAGGCTCCAGCAGATCAGTGTGGGCATCCATTTGTCTTCTGGGAATGCGTTCATTAAGGTTAAAGCCTATTCGCCATCTTCCTTCTATTGATCAAATGACAAAGTTAATATGTTTCATTAATAGTGAAATTGATCGCCTGCTCGGGTTCATCAATCCGTTACAGCTTTCTGACTGAGCCTTGTATCACTGTCACTGAGCAGGGAGCTTCAGGAGAGTTTATGCTAACCGTTTGCAGTAGTAGCTGTTTCTCACTTTCTGCCTGACTTAGAGCCACTGTGCTTGCAAACCGGACATACACCCATGCATATTTATTAATTAGCTGTAGCAAGGTACATCCCTCCAAAGGCACAGGCACCTACTGTCTGCTTAATGACACGCCTCCTGGGGAGAGCTTTGTAATTCAGATGCTGGGTTTACATTCTGTGGCCTTACATAGCCACCTATTTTTTAATTGTCAGATCATTTTTTGAAGAAAGCAGTTGCAATGGAGCCAGGGAGAGAAACTGCTGAAGAGTAGACATATTCAGCTTAGCCACCTTCTGAAAATGTTGATTCAGTTTTGCTCATTAACTTGCCACTTTCCCAACCTTCATTAATCAGCAGACATACTTTCCAGTCTCTTAAAATATTCACAGCTCTCCGGGGCCAGACCTGGCTTCCCTTTGTAACTAATCCAGAGTTCTCAGTGGGGGTGAGACCTATTCCCGCGATTACTTACCATTTACTGTACATGACACAGAGGCTGGTGCCGCACACTTTTAATGGTAACATCAGCTCCTGGATGACTCTTCTGAACTCTGGTTATTTAAATATTTATTTTTAAAAGTTAAAATATTAGAATGTGTAAATCCGCCCCAAAAAAAGCCTTCAAATGAATGGCCCTTTTACTTTATTACGAGACTATATAAAGAGATTTTGTGCCACTCTCACTGTTTAAGTTTAAAACAGGCTTCTTTTCCTGCAGCTCTGCTCCAGATGCTGGCAGCTGCTGAGGCGGGTAGAGATGTGGCCTATTTCACCTTTGGTGACAGCCAGCTCATGACAGATGTCCACAACATGCACTCTTTCCTCTCTCAGAGAAACATCAGTGTCGGTAAGGCAAACATCCGCTGTGCCTGCTTTTTGTTTTTAGCAATTTTTTTATTCCACTGCCAACGGTGTGATGCATAAAATAATAACACGATTAATTATGTTTTGGAATACTATTTCCTCTCAGGATTCTGTTAAGAATGATGTGATCTTGGGAAACAATGATATGGCTAATTATTATTCCTGAAAACATTTTGACTTGCTGTAACATCAGTCCACTGTAGACTCCATACAACATTCACAATCTCCATGTTTCCATCACAGGGGAGGTGTACGATCTCCTGGGGCAGTACCACAGCTCAGTGTGCAAGAGCTGCCTCGGTCGGCGCCCTGAAGTCAGCCTCTACTCCTTCATCTACCAACAGGTCAGCTCCTCCCTGGCGCCACAAGACTCTGACGGGGGCTTGGCCAGACAACACGTCCCCGCAGACTGCCATTGAGGTCAGGTGGCTGATGAGTCACCATGTTTTACCGTTGGATACTGAATTAAAACATTATCAGTCTGCCTTTAGCTTCATTTTTTTATCTTGCTTTTTGCCTTTTGTTAGACAAACTCCTAATAAAAAGTGGTGGATATACCAAATACAGTCTCCACCACTGGCGGCCGAAAATGAAAATCTAGCAAGCAGATCTTTTTTCAGAAACAACTGAATAGCAGAAGGTGATTAGTTATGACCCTGTCTGGCGCTGCAGTCCAAACTGTGTCGGTTTTACTACTGTTGGTAATATGCCAATGTATTGAGCTTCAATGCGACGCACTCGTGATTTTAATGGTGAAACAAAGGTTGCCATCCATCTTCTGAGTTTGTCATGATGCCTTTTTTTACACCCACACATATCCAGCCTAATTGAATTGGCTGTCAGAAATCAAGTTAAAGAAAAAGAATAACTACAACGAGTTTTGGAAAGCTTGGAGCGGTCTCAGGAAAGCAGTTTGATTTAAAGAGCAGCCTGGCTCTATGGGAAATAAACTCCTACCTTCTGCATTTATAGCAAAATTCTTGTTGCAATCATGACTGAATATATCTTTTGGGTTCTTACACAAAACAGTTGCACTAAAAATATTAATTTGATTACTTTTGTTTCTGTATTTTACAACTGATTGCAGTGTAAATTTGTTATTTGTAGGCTTTGTTAATTACTGTCGTATAGCTACACTTGAATTAAGTGATGTTTATTTTCTGACAGATTTTGATTTTCAAGCAGCCTTAATAAAATTAGTTTTATGTAAATGTAATATTCTATTTTTTTAATATTGCCTGTGTTTTATTCTGAAGCACCATTTAAATGAAGCCACAAATGTCAGTAATACATCTCTGAACAATCGCAATGAGGGCCTCTTGTCCACAAGCAAAATGAGTTTCTATACTGCCTCGCCATTTATCTCTTCCCAGCTACTGCTTCACCCTTTCACTCACAGTTTAATAAGGTCATACCTTTTATATAAACCACACATGACACCTCATTAAGTAAAGAGTAGATCATAGAACATCCAGTCAGAAAAGAGTCTGTCTGCTGGATGAAACACTGCTTCATTTGCATCAAGAAGGAGCTGCTTGACCCAAGTCTCGGAGGTTAGACCTTTGGCACTTTGTGACATTTGTTTTAAGCAACATACATATTTTGTGGTGTTTGTAAAAATATTCTTGGCACACAATACAATTAGACATATATAACATTGAGTTCACAATATTAAAGTTGATCTGTGTACTGACACAATATATGTTTAAGTAAGGCTAAGTTTGGTGTTTGATGAAAGAGTAGTGAAAGTTGACACTCCGTCTGATACTGACTGACTGTTTTAAGCTATGTTGAGTTGATTTTAGACACATTAATTTCAGTGATGCTTGTTGTGACTTTTTATCTAGTTACATGCCTAATGAGCTGTTATCTGTCAATTTACAGATTACCCAGTCAGCTGGAGTTTATTGAGTAAATATGTTTGGTTCAATGTTAAATTAGTTTTGTACTGAATGGACTCCTAGGAGCTGTAAGTGAATGAGTGAGGTGGAGGCGTCTCTAAGCTTGGTGCTGTCTGCCTTCATGGAATCACGACCTGAAGTAGGGGGTCTCTCTTTGTACCTTGCTGAGTTCAAATACAGCCTTTGGTGGCGTCTCTCCCAAGGGGATCCACCATAGACACACAGGGGATATCCTACTGGATTGATCCCTCTGCAGTGAGCCCCATGTGCGTCTATGACCTTTTGGCTACCATCTGTTATAAAGTCACGAACACGAAGAGTGTTTAGTCTTTTAAACATGATCACACTTTGACACATGACTGCACTGTAGTTTGGCATGGAAACGTTGGGTAAATGATGCAGTTTACAGATAAAACTTTGAACTTTATAGGCTTAGTACAGAGAGGTAGTGAAAAATTATCACAAACATACAGTGCTGTGCAGGAGTTTTAGGTAGGAGTGGAATAAATGCTGTAAAGTAAGATTTGGTGCCGGGATACGATTAAAATTTTTAATCACAATTAATCGCATTGTTATGCGCAAAATTGAACAATGAATTCAAAAGTAGTGTATTGTGCACGTTAAATTTAAAGGCTGATCAATGTCCCACCAGTCCTGTGACCCATGGTTTGACTTTGTGTATTCAGAGTGATAAAATATTTGTTTGGCGTCAATAAATTAATGCGATAACGCGATAATAACATGTTAACGTACCCAGCCTCAGTGCCTCAGTCTACTTTGTGTTTAGGGGTAATAAGCAAATGTTAGCATACTAACATGCAGAACAAAGATGGTGAAAATGGTCAAGATTACGCTTGCTAAAGGTCAGCATGTTACCAAGAGAACAAATAAAATACATAGTTCAACTTTGACTAGATTATTTCTGGAACGGCCTTGCCATATCATTTTTCCACTTTTGACTTTTTTCCATCCACAAAAGGTCAGCTCTGGTAACATAGGGTGCTGTATTATAAATGGGGAGGCCTAATTAAATTAATTACAAGCTATTTACTTCATAGTTCCTTATCATTTTGATCATTAGCAGAACTCCCTGTAGTGTTTGGAGGAGTTATGCGAGGTTCTCTTGGCCCCAGATTAAAGGCATTATCAGCTGAATATTGATATGTTTGATGAAACCCTGGGAGCCGTGGCTTACATTTGTTTGGACTGAAGATATAAGACACAAATAGCATTCGTTGTCATGAGCTCCCTTTTGCTAATTATTCATACTTTGTCCTTTCCATGATAACAATTTTATTTTATAAAAATAAAGATGGATGCTGCACATACAGTACACTTGGGGCATTGGAGTACTTGTGGGATGCAGCTTACTTGCAATTGATTCTAATCTTTGAACATTAGTTATGAATTATTACCATTTTACACTCTATTGGGTCTAGCAGAGATGGTTGACAATGTAAAAAGGTTCAATTTTAGATTAGGTTGTATATACTTAATATCAGGGCAGGAATTAGTGCATATTGTTTCCCAATTTATTTTCCTTCCATGTGTCCCTTTGGACACTCTTCAATGTATTTTTCTCAAGTTCATTTTGAAACCTTTACATCATGACCACACTATTATAGAAGTCACCTGTTCAAAATGAAAAAAATGGTCGTATTGCTTGCCTACTCTGTAACCTAATCTGTGCATTGCCATTTTCAAAGGGTTTTATTAAGCATTTATTTTTTGGGCAAGACAGTCAGACAATTTCATTTCATATTTATTTATTTCACACACACACATCATCATTTTTAAGGACAAATTACAATGGTAACAGGAAGGTTATTGTGTGAAAAGGGGGAACCCCAAAGAAGCTATTAAAGCTTTTAAGAGGGGGCCCAATATCTACGTACAACCTATAACATTCAAGAAAAAACTCACGCCATAAAAACCAATAATATAAATACAACACAAGCACTACAGACAAACAAAAGATCGATCCCAGAACAAATATAACACTTCCAAAATGATCAAAAAGTATATGTTAAGAGCAAATTTTCCTTCAGATTTTTTTTGAAAACGGAGACAGAATGCACCAATTTAAGGTTTTCCTCAAGCTTGTTCCAAATCTGCGGACCTCTACAGACTATACTCAGGCTCGTACATTTCAAACGTCTGATTTTACCAGTAATTAAGTCTTTTTCCCTTGTGTGATATGTATGCTGGGGTCGACTGATTGGGACAAGTTCACACAATCGGTCATTTAGCTTATGAACAACCTTGAATATCATACAAGCATTATGAAAAGAATTGTATTCGGTAAGTCATAATAGACCCAGGCCATGAAACAATAGACGCGAGGGGGTATTTGGCTCAGACCACGTCATTACCCGTATACTTTTTTCTGTAAAGACTGTATTTTTTTCAGGTAGCTAGTAAAAGTGTTACACCATATGACATTGCAATAATTTAAATGGGACTCAAACAATGTTTTATATAAGATAACAAGTGCTGACTGCGGGAGAAAATGTTTTGAAAAATAGTCCAACGTATTTTGATAATTTGGTTATTAACTGGTCAATATGACATTTGAATTGTAGACATTCATCAATAAAGACTCCGAGAAATTTAATGGTGTTTACTCTTTCAATAATTTGTTCATTTATTTTAAGACAGACATACTTATTTACCAATTGATTTTGTTTGGAATGAAACACGATGTAGTTAGTCTTATTTATGTTAAGAGATAATTTATTGCACCGAAACCAGATAGCAACATTTCGTAATTCTCTATTTATTGTTTCTTCCATATCGTCTGGATTCTTATGTGACATAAATAGATTTGTGTCATCAGCAAATAAAACCTTGTATAAAGCCATTGTGGAATTTCCAAAATCATTTATATATTAAGAAAAGAAGAGGGCCCAAAATGGATCCCTGAGGGACTCCACATTTAATGGGTTTGCTTATTGAAATTTGTTCATTGATACTTACATACTGCTGTCTACCAAATAGATAACTTCTGAACCAGCTAAGGGCTAATCCTCTAATTCCATAATGGTGTAATTTATTTAATAGGATGTCGAAATCAATAGTATCAAACGCCTTAGATAAATCAAAAAAAAAAAACAATACCACTCTAGCCTTTATCAATGGCATCATTGATCTTTTCAATCAGATCGAGTACCGCCATACATGTGGTTCTTTTCTTCCTAAAACCATATTGAGAAGAAGCAATAATATTAAGCTTAGTTGCACTCTTCAACAAAAGACATAAAACCGAAATGTGATTCTAAAGCTGTGGAAATACAATTGCGGTCCAAACACTAATCATCAAAACAATCAAAAGACAGTATTCGGTCACACACCCATCAATATTTTCTTTAATCAATATTTTAGCAAGTTCAATAAACCATCAGTGGACCATAATATTCCTTTGTAGACAGGATGTTCGCCTTGTCGTGCTTCTTCTTTAAACACTGCTCTTCTGTTAAATCAATTTTGTACTGTCACGTTTAACAAATCTTGCTGTGTCTGTAAATGTACTCAACTCTCACTGCTTGTAGCTGGGAGCATGTTTGAACTCAGCATGACCTAAATGTCTCACCGCTTCCTCTGTGTCCTGTGCGGCGCCAAAGCCGCCATCGTTTGATGGTAATTGTGCCTCTCCTCCGGCTCTACACATGCTGAGATGGTTCCTCATCCAAAGGCAGTTCCTTCATTGCTCCAAAAACCTGCTTGCATTGTCTTTTGCTTGGGTCTAAATAGCCTGTAGTAAAAAACAATCTTAAATATGGGCTGCTCTGGAAGAGGTGGAGGCGCTGTATAAATCCAATGCAACAGCAATTATTTATTAGTGACAGCTTTCTATGGCCATTTTAGTTCAAATGTTTCCACTGCAATTGATCCAAAGGAAAAATCCATTTTTATGTGATAGCTGTAGCTTTTAACCAAACTGACTGCTCGCTCCATAAGGTCAAGGATTGAGTGAGTGAAGTTACTTTTGCTCCTAGTGTTATTAGATTGCCTATCTATCACCGGAGTGTCATGTGATTGATACAGAACCAGGTTGAATAAAAGATGGAGCAAGGCCATTGCTGCACCCAAGAGTAAGCAGTAGCCTAATCGCCATGAAAACCTGTCTAGAAGAAACCCTTGAAGGATATATAGGAGAGAAAAAATGATTAGCTAGCTACTTACTACTTACTGTGGTGTCATTTCTGATTTAAAGTCATTTGAAATCCAGCGTCTGAGTTCTTACAATCTGCATTTTCCTTTATGAAACTTCCAACCTCAGCATGTTAAGGGGGCTAGATAGGCAATTGTGGAAGGATGATTAC